TAAATTTGAAATACTGCACAGTATCAAGGTCGAAAAAAGGAAGAGAAAGATCCAGATGGCTAGCATTTAAGACTCGTTGGCGGGGATCTATTAAAAGAGAAGGCGAAAGCAGCATCCCGGTACCTCAGTCGGTATAGCACCTGTACGTGGTAAGCAAAAACGCCTAGCAATGACTGCCGGGAGGTCGCAGAATCGAAGCCTGCCCGGAATTAAACTTTTACCTCGCTCTTACTGTCGAAAAAGGTTCGGGTTTCGGGGCTAGTTAGTTAAATAATTTCAATTCACCCTAACCCCATCTCTGGTTTCATTAAAAAAATTTTCTTTTGAAATTTTAAATACCCAAGTTTGAGTTTAAGAAAAAAGTTAAAAAACTTATGGAAATCGATAATTTAACATCAATGTCAACACCACTCACTACTTCGAATATTAACAACAAAAAATTAAAACTACATCAATTAAACAAAAAACTTTCTAATTTTTCCGAACAATTTTCTAACGACATGCCACCTTGGGCCTCAGCAATGCTTGAAATTGTAAATTCTGTAATGGAACTTTGTAAGGATATTCTTACAAATGAACCAGAACAACAAACAACAGAAACTAAATATCGATTTGGAGACCCTTTTTCCGCTAGCAACAAACAACATAATTCTTTAGAACAATCTCATTTGACCAATATCATAAACAACGCTATTTTGGACGCCGAAGAAATCAAGTCTAAATCAAAAAGAGTTGTTATTGAACGGGCTCCTGAAAATGTTGACATCACTTCTTTAGTTAAAAAAATTGCTTCAGATTGCGGAGTATCTTCTGATCTTTTGGAAAATGACATACATCGACATCCATCTCGTGAGTTATCAAATGTTGTAAATAAGAAACCAAGAATTGTCAAAATCCCATTTAACAATAAAAAATCTAGGGATATTTTTCTTTATAATTTTCGTAAATGTCTTAAGCAAAATCCATCTTTACCGCAGTTTTTAACTGCTAGACGTGATATGACTCGAAACGAATTAAATATTTTGTATAACTTGCGTAAGCAAGCATTTTCTATGAATCAGGTCGAGAACATGTTTAAGTACATTGTTGTCGATCTGTCAATCATTACACTTAAAAAACCACAACCGCTCAGGGCAACTAAAAATAAATAGGGGTACGCAGGCAAACCACAAACAAAAATAACAAACGGAAATATTTACTCATATAAATGTATATTATTCAATTCTCGGTCGCTTGCCAATAAAATACCAGATTTAAATTATTTGATTGAAAATTCTAACCCAGAGCTGATATTAATCAACGAAACGTGGCTCAAAACAGATAATATAATAAATTCTGAACTATCACATATGGGTAATTATGAAGTCATATTAGCTAATAGAATAGAAAAAAGAGGCGGAGGATCGGCAATCCTAGTAAAAAATAACATACCTTTTAAAATAATTTTCTCTGGCTCTAAATTCCAATCAGAGATTGTACATATAAAATTATTGCTTGAAAAAGAAATTAACATTATAAACATTTACCGACCACCAAATAGTTCAATTCTTAATACAAAAAAGTTATTTAAATTCCTTTTAAATCAAATCAACCAAAAAACTATATTATGTGGAGATTTTAACATTAGACACATAAACTGGTATTCTAACGAAATAATTGACAATTATGACAAGATCGCGAATATTTTCATAGAGTTTATAGGTCAGAATCAATTAAAACAACTTGTTACTGAACCAACTAGGGAAAATTCAATCCTGGACCTAGTACTTACATCTGATTCCGGTATTGTTAGAACTATTAAAGTTAGGGAGAATTTTTCAACTTCCGATCACAAAATGATAGAGTTTGAGCTTAATTATCGTGTTAAAGTAATTAGGAAGCCCAAGAGTTACGTAAGAGATTTTAGTAAATCCAATTTTATTAATCTAAATCAAGTCATATTTCGAAATAATTTAGATCTAGGTATATCAACGAAATTCACAGTGGAAGATAAATACATTTATTTAACAAAAGAACTTCTATGTCTTTATAACAAATATATACCAATGAGAGCACTAAATAAGATAATAAGAAAAGCATACCCTCAAAGAATTAAGGAATTACACAAAGAAAAGCTTATATTATTTAGGTTACTTAAAGAAAGAATATATGATAACAATTTAAGAGTTAAGTATAAAATCGTCTCAAGAAACCTAAAAAAGCAATTAAAAATTCATCATAACACAAATGAAGAAAAAATAATCAATAAAGGTGGAAATTCGATACATAAGTATATTAGAAACAGACTTACGCAAGATAATAATATTCCCTGTCTAATTGATAAAGAAAACAAATTTTACTTCAGCGATGAAGAAAAATGTAATATTTTGGGAAAAGGGTTTCAAAAGAATTTTCAAAAAAGAAGCATTAATCTCTCAGATAGCGATGGAAATATAATTCCAGAATCAAAGTTTACAGACATAGATTTAAGTACTAGTATTGTGTGGGATACCCTCAGATCACTTCCTAGTAAAAATTCTACTTCTCCAGACAATATACCTTATATATTACTTAAATATTGCGCTGACTCACTTGCAAAAATAATCACAGATACCTTTAGAATTATTATTGATAATGGGCAAATTCCATCAATTTGGAAATCGTCACTTATTATACCTCTATATAAAAAAGGGGAAAAATCAGATCCAAACAATTATCGTCCAATATCGTTAACATGCACCCTGTGTAGGATTTTAGAAAGAATTATCGCAAAACAATTAGTAAAATACTTAGAAGATAATAAGTTCTTTAATCAAAATCAGTTTGGGTTTCTTAAATCAAGATCCACAACAACACAGTTATTATCCACAATGAATGATCTATATAATGCAATACAAGATGGATATAGTATAGATATCATATACATTGACTTTGCTAAGGCATTTGACACTGTACCGATAAATATTCTTCTAGATAAGATAGTAAAAGCAGGCATTAGTGGAAAAGTCTATACATTTCTTAAAAATTTTCTATCTGATAGAAATTTCAAGATTAAGATTGGTGACCAAATATCTTGCGAATATGAAACATTCTCAGGTGTACCTCAAGGTAGTGTCTTAGGACCTCTTCTATTTCTTATTTTTATAAATGATCTTCCGAATCAAATCCCTGAAAACATTGGAATAAAATTATATGCAGACGACGTAAAACTATATGTAGCTCATAGAAATGGCATAGAAAGGGATGAACTTAATAAAGCTTTATGGAAACTTGAAAAATGGACAGAGTTAAATGGTTTAGAAATATCTCCTCATAAGTGCTTTGCCTTATATCTAGGGAAAAATAACCTGAAAAGAGAGTATAACATTCATGGATTAAAAATACAAGAAACAGAATGCATTCGCGATCTTGGAGTTTTAATTGATTCTAAAATATCTTTTAATAACCATATAAATATGGTTATAAAAAATGCATATCTAAAAAGTTTCCAAATAACAAGAATCATTAAGTCTAGAGACTTAAATCTTCTTGTTAATATTTATAAAACTTATATAAGACCCCAGCTAGAATATGCAACTGAAGTGTGGAATCCACACATGAAATATCAAATAGATAAAATCGAAAGAATTCAAAAACTATTCACTAAGAATATTTACAAAAAATGTGGATTAATCAAGGTCCCATATGAAGAAAGATTAAATACTTGCAAACTTGAAAAGTTAATAGATAGAAGAAAGATTGCCGATCTTTCCACTGCTTTTAAAATTATAAAAGGGTTTACATCTCTTAATTCCCAAAATTATTTTAATTTTTCAAATAGATCACTTCGCAGGCCTCTACTTCTAAGGATTAAAAAACACACGAACAGAACAAAAAATAATTTTTTTCATAGGGTGGTAAATAAATGGAATAATCTTCCAAATGAATCATTTAAAATAAATGATCCCAAAAAATTTAGAAGTTTTATTAAATTATCACAATCTAAATAAAATTTTTGGAAAAATTAACCTTGAGCGTTATTGTGTTTTTTTTTTATGTGTAATATTAAATTCATTTATTTTTATTGTTCATTTTTAAAGTTATTTTTATTTTTGATGTTGTTTCCTACATATATATATTTTTTTTTTTGACATTAATTTATTTTTTATGTTTTTTTTTTGCACCACATTAATGTATTTTAAAATACCTGTGGTTTGCTGATAAATAAATAAATAAATTTATTTTTAAACTCCACACCTTTGCATATGAACAGCATTTGAAGTAGATTGACGAGGATATAATTCAATTGGACGTACAACTGTTCTAGTTGTTGGAGAATAAGGTAGACGGACAGGGCCGGTTGGATCAGGCCTTTTTTGAGAATTTTTTAAGGATTTATTTTTGAAATTACCTATAAGTCTCTTCATAACCATCATCATCTAACAGCCAATCCTCATTTAATAACCCAGCCATTGCAAATGCCTGATTTCTTGCCAAAGCTAACGGGCGCCTTAATTGTGGTCCATGCTGCAAGGAAAGGTTTGACGGTCCTACTAGTCCTCTTCTATTTCTATTTTCTTGTAAATCTAATCTTGTTCGTCGTTCATATAAATCTTCCTCATCCGAATCTGTTGGCATACTTTAAAAATTAAAAAAACTTTAGCCTTTAAAACGGGTTAGCTCCTTAAAATACCATTTTTCCAACCTAAAGTAGAAACCTAAAATTAAAGTTAGGAACAGTTACTACTGGTTTATTGAAAAAAATCAAAAAGCTTAAAGAAGCAGTTTAAGCCTGGATTTTTGCCATACATATAATAAAACACCCCCACAAGTAGGGTTGGGGACCCGGTTCGGTTCGATAAATCGAATCGGGCATTGAATTTTGGCCCGAAAAAAGCTCGACCGGTCCGGTTCGATAAAAATGAAGTCCAAAAGAATGACTCGAACGTCGGCCAGGTTCGAAAAATCCAACCCTACCCACAGGCCTTCTTTGATAAGCAAAGTTTAGCCCTTTCTCTTAGGCACTCCTTTTTCTTAGGAATTTATTCACACCTTCTATTAACAAAAATAAATCGTTGTGCAGCTGTAGTAGGCCCATATTGTTGTCCTCCATAAGATTGTTGTTGATTTGAAGGGGGAGGAGGGGGAACAGGACCATCCGCACTTCCACGAAATCCATTATTTACTCCACCAAGAGAAGAATCATTAGAATCATTTAGAGGTCTTTGAGAATCTGTCCTTTCTCTACGAGCCCCATAAATTGCTGCTAAATTGGGTAGGCGACGGCGACGATTGTTATTATTGCCGCCAATACGTGAGATACCATTTGGAGCAGATGAGTCTTTATAAAGGGGAAGTTGTTGTTCTGATGAGAGTTCTGGGGGCATTGCAGGGCTAAATTTATAAAAAAAATTTTGAAATTATTTTAAAAAGAGAGAAAATTTAATTAAAGGACAATCATTAGAGGTAGTCCATGGTAAGAAGAAAATTAATAAAAAATTCGAAAAAGAACCTAAAATCGTAGAATTTATCATAAATGTCTCCAATAGTGTTATCTATCTCCTCCAAAAATTTCAGAATTTTTAGTTGAGAATTTCAAAAGTTCTGATCAGAAGAAACAAAAATCGGTAATTTTCAAAAAAAATAGTAGGCGTTTCCGATTATAATTTCAGAAATACAAAATCAGAAATTCTGAAATTTTTAAGGATGTTAGATAACACTATTGGGGATATCTCTGGAAAATTTTATGGTTATAGGATTAAATTTGAATTTTTAAAAATTCGGTGATTAACGTATGTTCTCCACTTTCTCCCTTAAAATCCTCTTCACACACCCCCACCTCCAAAAAATTTTTTCCCGTTAAATTTATTTTATTTATTCCCTCTTTCCCTACCGTCCAATTAAAGCAATAGGTATTTCATCTGGATATTGTTGATTATGTGCTGCTTTATGTGATGGAGGTAAATTAACAGATTTATTTGTAGGCATTCCCCTATGCAATAAATGGGGAGTTGGAACTCCGTGATGGTATTCTACTGACATTAAATCTGCTGCGGCGATTGAATGTGTTGGAGAAAGACCTTCTTCTTTAATAAAAAATATTTTGAAAAAAATTTTTGAAGTTTTAAATAAAATTAAAAGTCAAAAGGGAATTAAATTTCGGGGGCAGGGTCAGTTCGCAAAAAGAAAATTCACCAAATAAAATTTTTAAGAGTGATTTTTTGTTAAAAATAAATCTAGATATGATTAGATAAAAAAATAGGAACGTAAAAAACGTAGAAAAATATTCTGAAGGCAGCCTCTCTAATAGAAAGGACAATTTGGTAGATACCGAAAGTTTTCGGTGAATCGTCTCTTCGGTGAATTGTTCCCAAAAATGGCTTAGATTTACACTTAAAATGCAAAAATCTAAATAAAGTGTCTCTCTTTCCACACTTAAAACCAAAAAAAGTCCTTTTAGCTTTAAAAGTCTGTCCATCAAGCGCCAAAAAATTTAAGACGTCTCTAGTGACAGAAAATTGTAAGAAGAAAAAAGGAACAGAAAAATTTTGGGGACAGAGGAGAGGGAGGGAAAGAAGGAGTTTTTCGACACTTTAAAAAATTAAAGAAGATGGACTAAATAGAAAAAATAAAAAAAGAAAAGTGTTTATGTTGAGGAAAATTTGGTAGAAAATTGGAAAGGGAAATTGAAAAAAAATGTGACAAAATTAAGCTAAAGTGACAAAAACTCTTCCAAAAAAATTTTTTTAAGGGGTGAAATGATGTGTTTATTTGTGATAAATAAATAAATTTTTAATGGAGTTGTTTATGAAGAAAAAAATTCTTCTCCAAGGTATGATAATTAGAATCCCTCTCATAAAGAGGGATTCAACCCAAATTAAAAACCCAAATTAAAAAATTCTCAGTTCTTCGGTTCGATTGCGAATTAAACCATTATTTAGTGGAGCCTTCCATTATTTAGGAAAAGAAGCAAATATAAAATTTACAAAGGAGAGGAATCTAAAAATGATACGAAGGGAATCTGTTTCTTAAGTAATTAGTAGAGATCGGCCTGGGTCTGGACCAAGGCCTGGGTTTTTCCTGTACCCAGAGTCTAGGTCCAGGCATTTTTTGACGTTCCTGGGTTTTTTCTGGGCCTGGGTTTTTCCTAGACTACAAGGCCCAGGATCCAGTCCAGGTCAAGAAATCAAACTCCAGAGTCCAGGAACAGATCCAGGCTTTTCAAAATTTCCGGTCTCTAGTAATTGGTAAATCCAAAAAATTTATTTAAAAATTTGAAAATTTTTTCTTCCATTTTCTAATGTCAAAAATAATAAATTAACTAAACAAAAATTATTTTTTGGTCAAAAAATCTAAAAATGGAAAGGCAAAAAGGAAATTTTTTAAAGAGAAAATAATTAAAAAATAAAGAAAATATGTATATTTATGTTTTATGAGAAAAAAAAGAAAAAGCCCCAAAATTAGCTTTAAAAAAAGAAAAAAATAAATTAATGTGTTAATTTAGCATAAAATGATTAATGAAAGGAAAAGAAATTTTTTAATTAATTTTTGGAATTTAAAAAAATATTTTTTAACCGAAAAAATAAAAGGGAGCAGGCCAACTTAGCCCGCAGCCCAATTTACCGCAGAGATATAACTTCGTTCAGAATTGTCGAATCCGGGACATCTTGCTATGGTTCGATGCGCCTCGACGAGCTGAATCAAACCATACCAGGTCGTCCCAGATTAGACAATTCTGAACGAAGTTATAGCTCTGCGGGGTGTACCTTAATAAAAGGTAAAGGTTTAACACAAAAATGTAATTTAATTCTTTTATTTTTATTTTTTTTTGGCATTTTCTCTCATTTAAATGTTAAGTAAATAAATAAAAATATTTACTTGAAAATAAATATTTTTTTGGGTAAAATTCCGTCATATACCCCATGGCCAAAATTAATAAAAAACTATTTTATATTACTTTTTATGCTCTAAAATGTATAGCAAATGTAATTTTAGAGGCGCGCTCTAGAAATTTGCTGAGATATTGGGCTCGAAATGGTCAAAAATCATAAGACTCAAAATGGTCAAAAACGTTAAATTTAAAATACGTTTCGTTCGAAATATATTTTATTCGAAAGAGCTCGTCGAGCTAAGTCGAATGACACCAAAATCAACGAAATCCGTCTTGGTTTGACAAAGTTATGATCGTTTCTTTTAGCTCCTTACGTATGGCATCCGTGGAGTTTTTGCTGTTGTGGAAGAAGCTGTGCATTCCCATCTCATTGATGATAGGAATAGGACCATGTTACGAGCCCAGACCCAGCGCCCGTAGACTCCCCGCGAGGCGCGTGCCGCAAAACCCCGCGCGAAGCGCGGGGTTTTGCACAAGCGCCTCGCCGACGCTCCATAGGTTTACGTTGTTTATTATTTGTATCGTAACTTTGTACAGACTTGTTAGAACACGTTGAATTTGGTGTCTTTCAATTCGTCTCAACGAGCTCTTTCGAATAAAATATATTTCGATCGAAACGTATTTTAAATTTAACGTTTTTGACCATTTTGAGTCTTATGATTTTTTACCATTTCGAGCCCTATATCTCAGCAAATTTCTAGAGCGCGCCTCTAAAATTACATTTGCTATACATTTTAGAGCATAAAAAGTAATATAAAATAGTTTTTTATTAATTTTGGCCATGGGGTATATGACGGAATTTTTCCTTTTTTTGAAAAAAATTTTTTCTTAGAAGGAAATATAATATTTGTGTGAAAATGTTAAGAAAAAAATATATTTATTTAGTCAAACTTCCTCAGATAAAAAATTTTGCCGTTAAAATGAGTAGTGATAGAGGTGACACTATAGTGTGAGGTTTGACTTTAAAAAGTAAAGATGAACTCTGACCCTTCGGGATCGAAAAGTTAGGGATCGGAGTTAGACAGGATTGGGACTGAACGCGATCGAGGTTCTTTAAGAACATTAAACGAAAAGTCCGGTTTAATAAAAAAAAACTGGATTGTAGACCCGAGAGTTCCAAAATAATCTCAAAATTTTTTTTAAATTTACTGGCCCCCTCCCAAAAATTAAATAAAAAATCCTCACTTTTCAAAGGCATCAATTTTCGTTGTTCCCAACCTTCACCACCTATTATGACTGCCCCATCAGCTTCTGATTTATCTCCAATTGTTTTATCTGTTGTTGGACTACCGACTGCATCTGCTGATGTTGGACCTCCCAAGGCGTGTACAATATTATTGAAGAGAGAATGAGTTCGCTAAAAGAGTATTTTTAGAATTTAATGTTTTAAAAAATGGTTGGACGCGTAGTCATAAATAGAGGTTGGTCGAGGTAGGGGTTTTTTGAAAAAACCGAGGCCGAGGATCACAGTCAGGAAAAGCCGAAATCATGGTAGATAGGCAAATTTGGGCCGAGGTACTCGGCCTCGGCTAGGCCTCGACCAACTCTAGTCATAAACAGGATTATTGGTTCAGAAATGTTGAGGATTCTTCGGTTCGGGTCTCAGATATTTATCAGAAATTTTCAGCTCGAATATCGGTTCGTTTCTTCAGTTTATCAGAAAATTTCAGTCTGGCTTCTTCTGAAATTCTGAAAAAAAATTTTGCCGGCAGCGCTAAGAATGAAACGAAAACTTTTCTATGCGCAAACTTTTCTGCGCCCAAATTTCCCCCTCTAAAGTTTACCCTATGTTGAGGTTCTTCCGATTCAAGTACAAAACCAGGGTCAAGAGTCCCACTAATCGCTCTTTTCAATTCTGGTCCAATTTCGTGTAAAGTTCTTAGGCCAGCTTGAAGTGCCATTGCGTGAGTATTTGGCGCAGCCATTCCTTTTGCTTCCAATTCTTTTCGTTTTTTAAATCGTCGAAAATAATCTTGAATTAAAAATGTTGCGTAAAACTTTCCAACAGTAACTTCATCGTCTTCTAAAAAATTTTTTTGGAAATTAAAAAAAATATTTTTTTTTGTTTTCACTTCCAGCTGGAGGAACAACTTCATCAAGCAATTTAATTGGTGTACGCTTCCAAATTCGTCGAATAGCTGATCTTAGCTGTTCATTTGCTTCGTCTATATTTCCATCAGTGTAAATTTTTAAATTTGTGCGGACCAACTGAAATTAAAAAAAATTTTTTTAATTAATTTAAATTGTTCCCTAAATATTTTTTCGATAGTTTTAGAAATTCCCTAATTTTACTTGCGAAAATAATTTTTAAATAAAACTAACAGCAAAGAGCGTAGCATTAAAACAAACAGTTCCATCTAAATTAAAAAAATACTCGTTGAAAATTTAATTATTTAATTAGTCGAGTCTAATTTTTAGATACACCTTACAGACTGAAAAATAATAGTATGAGGGGTATTTTTGATTTGCTTTGAGGTTAATGATGGATGGAGATGTGAGTTGGGGGGAGGTATCGTTCAGGAAACTCACTCGTTTAATGGCGGATCAGAAGATATCGAACAATTTTCAGTACGGATATCGGATCTGAATATGCAGGGATTTCTCTGGATCCGCCAACCCCGCTAGTTCCTATCGAATTTTAAAAACCCTATCCTAAATTGAGAATCACCTAATTATTAAGAGTACCCAAAAACGAGGGCTCAACTATATTAAAAATTTTCTGAAAAAATTACCCACCACTATTTAAAGGCATATTCATAGAAACAAGCCTTTTACAGGCCAATCTGTGTGGACACAATTTACCAAACCCCAAAGGAGGCGAAATCTTTCTTAAAAGGGTAACAACATCCAAATGTTTAATCCTTCCTTTAGCATCAGGGTCATATTCAGACCACAAACGAACAAATTCTTCTAAATGATGAGGTCCAAGAATTGACCAATCACGAGTTAAATAATCAAAATTATCCATAATAACAGCAACAAAAAGGTTAATAATTAGGAAAGAACAAAGCATGAAGAATGAAATAAAGTAAGGGTAGGCGAAATTGACACCTTAAAAAATTTTATTCTTGGAATTTAAAAAAATTTATTTTTAATGCTGGGAATCAGGATAAGTTTATTGAAGGAAAGCATGGGATATGAAGAAGCTGGTGAGATATAGGAGAAGATTGGGATAATAAAGTCGAGAATAGACTATGGTGAATCGAAGAATCAAAACATTCGAGTATCTCCCTGTTAATCTTATCTCATCTAAAATTTTTCATAACTAGAGACGGATGGGCCGATATGAAATCTTGAAAAAAATCATGAATATCGAGCTCAGGATTTTTATTTTGTGTGATACTCCGAGTCCGGTCACTAAACCAAACACACTTTATATTATCTTATAGGAAGTAAAATGCCCCAATCTCAATTTTATCCACACATAATATTCCTCTTAATTATCTCTCAATCAGCATTTAACTCTACCGATGTTTTAGTTCAGCATATAAAAAATAAAAAAAACTTAAAACTGACCACATCCAGCATTTGGATCCTTTTTGTAATCATCACTAGCTGGATCACATTTTACATCCTTAAAAAATTAAAAAATAAATTGGTATACAAAAAGCCTGTTTTACTCACCTCTCTATCAGAACATGCCAACATAATTTCTTGCCAAGCTTCTCCTGTTGCTGATCTAATTTTAATTTATTTTTTGAAAATCTAAAAAATTTCTCTACCTAAAAAGAACAAGTACAGCAGCAGGAAATGTATGGAAATTATTATTTCGATGTATTTGTGTATCATCATCTAGCGCTACTTTACCAAATACTTGCATTCCAATTACTGCATAAATAAAGAATAAAAGGACAATCAAAAGTGCAACATAGGGTAATGCCTGGAAGTTTAATTTAAATTTTAAAAATTTAAAACAGTTTAAAAAATATTTTTCAAATAGGTCTCCTTCATCTTTAAGGATTCACTAATTTATAAAACTCCTAAAAGAGCGCGAGATTATTTTCTTTAGTGAATCAATCTCCTCCCGTATATTTAGACTAGAGCCCGGAATTTTGTGCTGCATGGTATTCCGTCCGGGCTCTATTTTAGATCATAGCAGGAAATGTGCCGTCCCGATTTCTCGAATCCGAGAATTTATTTTTTTGTAAACAAGTTCCCTAACTCAATAGAAATGAGGAGGAATATGTTCCAAGAGGAAAAAATGTTCCCAGTCTATACTTTTACCAGTGCTGGGTATGCCTTCAGGAACTAGCTCCGGAGCCGACTCAATCCGGAGCTAATCTCAATCCTCAATCCGGAGCCGGCTCCGGATTTTAAGATCCAGAAGCACGGAGCCAACAAATGCCCAATACCCAGCACTGACCTTTACCTTTGGCCAAGTAAATTATTAGCTCCCCTTGAGTGTTAATGAAATTATTGTTCCATAAAAACTTTTCAAATTTCAAAAAAATATTTACTATTTACCTGAAAAGACTTCATAAAAGTCCACAAAAGCGTTCTAATCCCCTCTCCTCTACTCAACAACTTAACAAGCCTCATTACTCGAAAGAGACGAAAAAAATTAATTGAAATTATATTTGTCCCCGTTCCACCAATTTTTCCATAAATAATATCAATAAAAGAGCCGAGGACAATAACAAAATCAAAAGAATTCCACCTATCACCAAAATAATTTTTTGGGTTTAAAGCGATAATTTTGAATAAAGCTTCGAAGGCAAAGACACCAGTAAATATTAAATTGAGAATATCGAGAATATGGTCCATTTGAGGGTCTAAAAATTGAGAAAAAAATTAATTTTATAATTTAAGAATTTCAAAAAAAAATTTAAAATTTTTTAGAAAACCAAAAAAATTTTCAAAAAAATTTAATGGAGCTGAAGGGGATCGAACCCTTGCCTTCTCGCATGCAAAGCGAGCACTCTACCACTGAGTTACAGCCCCTGACGTTGGTGATTATTTATTTCTCTTTAAAAGCTTGTTTTCTAACTCAAAAAAGTTGGATGGTTTTATTAATTTTATTTTGGAAGGAAATTAAAAACCTTTTCAATTTTTTATTCTAAATAAATTAACAAAATAAAAAATTTAAGTCGAGAGGGGCTGTAACTCAGTGGTAGAGTGCTCGCTTTGCATGCGAGAAGGCAAGGGTTCGATCCCCTTCAGCTCCATTAAATTTTTTTGAAATTTTTAAAAAATAAAATGAGATTTATTAATTTTTGTTTTTACATTAAAAAAATTTTCTGATTAGAAAATATTTTGGTATTATCACATTATCCCCCCCCCTTTACATTAGGAGGGGAGAATTAATCCCGCAACAAATATTTAAAGAATATGGCTATTTAATTCTTAAAGCTAGCTGGAGGTTGCGTGGTTAATGCATAACTATTGGAATATAAAATCCATCAATCATGTATTTACACAAATAATTACAAATTTTTTATTACTGCGCTAACATTAAAGGAGCATTTGAGCAATTTCTCACTAAACATTTAATGGAAAATAAAATTTAGTCAAATGTGAGGGGCTGTAACTCAGTGGTAGAGTGCTCGCTTTGCATGCGAGAAGGCAAGGGTTCGATCCCCTTCAGCTCCAGGAATTTTTTTTCGAAATTTTTTATTAAAACAAAAATTAAAGCACCTGGCGGGTAATGTTTTAAAGCCAAAGTAGTTGTGTTTAGCACTAAAGAAAATAAAAAAAAAATTTTTTTTATTTAATTAAAAATTTACTAATAATAATAAAAATCGCATATTCAAAAAATTGTGATGTTACAAACCACCAAACTCTATATTGGAAACGATTTCGAGGTATATAACGTCTATGTGGTTTTGCTTTGAGTGCAAATTCTGAGAAGAAAATTTCAAAAAATTAAAAAAAAATTTTTTCTTCTTTTCTACCTATACATTTTCTTTGATTTTTGTCCAATTCACAATTTTCGTATTCCCTTTCTCCTTCATTTTGGAATGTTACAATAACAAAACCGACGAAGATATTCATCATAAAGAAGGCTATGACTACAATGAAGGCCTAGAATTTTTGGAAAAAATTTTTAAAATTAAATTTTAATTCAATTGAATGGAAGGGATTGGCATTTTGGCCTCGTTAACGCTTGGGCGCGGATTAAAAATTTTATGAAAGATGATAGCATAAAATTCTGAAATTTAGCACTAATACATATACTCAAGAGTGTTAACTAACTTCTCTAAAAATTTTAAAATTTTTGGTTAATTATTTTAAAAGTTATGGTCAAAAAAGTAACAAAAATCGACACAAATATTAATAAATAAGGGGCATTTTTAATCAGAATTTTCGAAAATATTTAATCAGAAATTCTGATATCTTTAGAACAATTAAATAACACTATTGAGAATATCCCAACAAAATTTCACCACCAAATTTTAAAATTAAAAAATAATTTACAATAAAGAATATAGCCACGGGCTGTCGAGCATTATAAACAGGACCCCGATCTTCCTCATTAGAATTTATTGCAACATATAAAAGGTCTGGCCATCCTTCGAATGTTGAAACAACAAATAAAGAAATCATTGCATCCATTACATTATCCTAATATTAAATATTGGGAAAGTTTGTTAGAAAAAATGGAACAGTGGAAATTATATGGATGGCAGTTCTTAGTTAAAGCCTTTACAAATTACTAGAGACCGATCAAATGCCAAAATCGAGGCTTTGATCACAAATAAAACTTAATTGATAAATTATAAATTAGTGAATTTCTCCCATCCATGAACCTCCTCTCACCAGGGTTGCGTCGTAATTACGAATTACGATTACGAAAAAAAATTTCCGATTACAATGAAACTCTGCTCCTCACCCTGGAGGGAACTCATTTTAACTCAGACCCAGATATCTGAGATAATACCGTCATGATTCTAGAGATCTGGAATTTATTTTGGTTTTGGGGTTGAGAATAACTAGTCCCGAAATTGGAGAATTTATTTTTTGTCCCTCTTTCAGCCCGGAAGGAAATCTCGATCAAAAACCGTGGTCATCAAAACGGAGATTTTCCATTAATCATTATAGGGATGTCGGTTCTGGATCGACGAATCGAAGAACCGAGAATTTTTCGGATCGGTTCTTCGGTTCGGTTCCGGATATCCGAAGATTTCCAAAAACCGACAACCCTAGATCATCAAATTTCCTTCCAGTCTCTCTCCAAAAAACTCACAAAATGAAAATCAGCTCGTTGCCAAACCCTTTTCATGCTAACAGGCTTTGTTGGATCTCCATCCTCAAAAGTAATAAATTCCCCTCTACATTCCATTTCTGTCATTCTAGAAGGATCATTACAAGAAAAGAAAGTTCCTTTAAATAATTGAACACCGATAATTGCGAACATAAACTTTTGGGAAAATTAAAGAAATTAAAGAAGATTTTTCTCCAAAATTTACTTGAAGCATAAATGTAACCAACATAATATTCCCTATTGTTTTGACAGCAACAATAACACATTGAACAACATGTTTTAAACCTTTAGCTCGATTTATGGCACGTAGAGGACTGAAACGAGAAAATTTTTGGGGGATTAGGATTGATTAAAAAATTATAAAAAAATTTTTATGGAAATTTCAGGATTTCAAAAATTTTCAAAAAAAATTTTTAGAAAATTCCAAAAAAGTTTCATAAGAAAATTTTCAAACTTTTAAAGAAATTTTTTTGAAAATCACAACAAGGGTTGGACCCAACACCTAACTTTTCGACAAGAGGGTCGTAGTTCGTAATTTCACTGCATAAATTTTTTGGAAATTTCAGGATTTGAAAAATTACAAAAAAAATTTTCCCAAAAATTTTTTTGTAAAATTTCAAAATTTTTTTGACTCAAAAATTTCACAAAAAAAAGTTCCAAACTTTCAAAGGAATTTTTTAAAAATTACAACTAGGGTTAGACTCCGACCCCTAACTTTTCGATCACAAAGTGACAGGGTCCAACTCTTTCTCAACTACCTAAGAAATTAAAAAAAAATTTTTTTGGATAAATTTTTCCCTAAAAATATTTTCCTTACCGTAAAACCCTCAAAACACGCAAAATCTTAACAACAGAAATTGCATCAGATTTGAGAACAAAAGAAATTAAAGAAACAGCAACAACCAAAATATCAAGTAAATTAAAAGCATTTCTACAAAAAGAGCCTTTATGCAAAACTAAGCCATAAACAATAACTTTTAAAGTTATTTCCACAGTAAATATTGTTGTGAAGAAATAATCAAAATAATTTAATATTGTATTTCGATAGGATTGAGCCTACAATTTTTAAAATTAAAAAAAAATTTTTTTGGTAAGAGGTGGAGAAAAAAGGAAAGGAACAATCTATCACTTAACGTGGACATAAAATTATTTAATGAAGTTTCTTGTAAATTTTAAAATCTTCTAATTTCAAAATTAAAACAAAAAAGATGAATCGAAAAAGAATGGTCTGGATTATAGTAAAAATATAGAAAATGAGATCTTTCTTTTTCAGAAAACTCTGAAAAATTTTAAAGTAGCTTAGAATTCTGTTTGGATTTTTGCGTTATTTCTGGTTGATTTCTTTTATCCTTTGCATCTTTCCTTCCTCTTTTAAGTCAAAAAATTTTTTTCTAGAATTTTTAAAATTACAATTTTTAGTATGTCAGAAGTCTAAAGAGCCTAGAGGTCTTAGTTAGTCATTCCAAAAAATAAATTTAAAAATGCCTGCCTGTAAAGGATCCTCAGCGGCAAGCATAGCAGAAGACACCAAAATACAAATCAAAACAGAATTTGTAAAATAAGAATGATTAATAATTCTATTGCAAAATAATCGGAAAGGGTTTGTGTGTGAAAGAAGAAATAAGGAAGAAGCTTTTGGTATTGGCTTTTGTTTACTTTGTCCAGTTAAATGGGAGGCCTTTAAAATTTAAATTTAAATTAAAATCCTTGAACTTTAATTGTTAAAAAATAGTCAGAAAGCGTATAAGACTATGAAATAAAATATCCTTAATTATGAGGGAGTAACCAGAAGTCTGGGGGGAAAATGGAAAAATCTTGTTCTAGGATTGATAAAAAAATTATTTTTCGCCTAAGGCCCTTTTAAATTAAAAAAAATATATCTGCAAAAAATAAAAATCGGTAAAAGTAAGGCTAAAAGGTTTGGCGTTATAGCCATATTATAGCCCTCAGAACTCCGACCTCTAGATCCCTTACCCAATTATATTATCTAAATTTTTTGAATTTTTAAATATTTCAGAATTTGAAGTTAATAAATTATTAAACGCCTTCAAACTTTTCAGAAATTATTATCTAAAAAAATCATCTTTCTTACCCTTCTCGGTCTAGCCCCAACAACCACTTCATCATTAACTTCCTCCCCATCCCCACCAACTTCATCATCCCCATCCTCTCCATCCCCTTCCAAATCCAACCCATCCTCATCTGTTTCTCCATGTTCATACTCCCCTTCCTCGTATTCCCCCTCAACTTCCATTTCATCTTCTTCTCCCGGTTTTGCATTCATTACTTGATCCGCTTCTGCCAAATTATCTACAGCAATGGCCAAGAAAACATTTAACAAAATATAGTTTCCGCAAATAAATAGAACAATAAAATATATTGATACAAGCATTCCAAGCTTTAAAAAAATAAAAAAAAATTTATTTTTAAATTAATTCCCCTCTCTAATATTTTTTAAATTGACCCAATGCTTTAAAGCTTCTTATTTATATTTTTGTTCATATTGGCTTGAATTTTTTATATAATTATTTAAAGAGTCTAAGTAGTTTGTCTTTGGACACCCCTAGAGAAACAAGGCAATGTCAGTCGGACCTTCATATAAGATAACCCCAATATTACCCCAGATAACCCCACAATATCCACTGTTCAAGAAACACCCTCATTATAAAAGACTTCAGCCCAACAGTACAACTTAAAGGTCCTGCCTTGTCTTATAAAGACACAATCTCATCAAAATTTTAAATTAAAAATCAAAAAATTCACCGATCCAATCCCTCCATAACTCTCAATTCCATTATACATTACTGTATTCCAATCCTCTCCCGTTAAAATTTGAAAAACTGTAAGTAGTGATTGAGTAAAAGTGTCAAAGTTTGCTCGAGGTTTCTAAAGGGGAAATTTAATTTATTTAAAGTGGCCACTCTCTAATAGAGAGGCAGGAATTTAAAAATCTTTTACCGGTCTCATAGGGTCATAATTAAAACGTCCACCAAATACTTGCATTCCCAGAAGAGCAAAAATAACAATAAAAAGGAATAAAAGCAAAAGTAGAGAAATTATAGAACGTAGAGAAGAAAGTAAGGAGGTGATTAATTGACTCAATGAAGCCCAATACCTATTAAAAAATTTAAGTTGGGAACTATTTTTGGACTTAATTTTATGACCAAAACACTAGCTAGAACTAAAGCTGTGGTCCTTTATTAAGAAAAAATCTATTTTCTTGAAAAGTTAAATCCTAATAGATCGTCCAAATAAAAAGAGTTTAGTTTCCAGTAGGCATTAATCCTGTGTAAGGTTGTCGGTTCTGGACCGAACCGAAGAACCGATGATTTTTCAGTTCGGTTTCGAATATCCGAAGAATTTCCATAAATCGACAACTCTAATCCTGCGGTCTCCTGCTTTATTTAAACAAAAAATCTTTTACTTTGTAACTTTAAATATTCTTAAAAGACGTGCCGAACGCAAAACAGAAATACCCAAAGGTTTCATAAATTCAAAATAAACCAAAACAAATTCTATAATTGAAGAGATTACAATAAAACAATCAAAACGGTTAAATTGGCTGTTCATATACTGCAAAAAATTGAAGAAAATTAAATGATTTAAAGTATTGCTTAAGATGATCTCCTTTTTACTACCAACCAAATCCTTCCTAATAAAAATAAAGGCTTTTTGAGACACTTCCTCTAAAAACCCCCTATAAAGGCTCATTCTCTCTCTCATAAATAAGACTCTCATTCATTCCCTATAAAGTTGCTGGCTCCAGGTCAGAAAAAGAGTCCATCTGAAAGACATGCCGAATGCACATAGATACCCAAAGGTTTTCGATTCAAATATCGGATCTAGTTATCCGGAAATTCCCAAAATTTGTCAACCCTATTCCCCTAGGTTTTTTGCTTGTAGAAAATTTTCTTTCTTTCAATTTAAAATACCCATAAGAATTAAAAAAATTTAAAACCCCCTCACTTGTAACAATCCAAGAGAATACATTTTTAACAACATTTCCATTGTAAACAAAATAACAAAAAATAAATTTGCACCAGTTTGAAAATGATCTAACCAGGGTTCTTGTCCATAATGTTCGGATGTTAAAACAAGAGTATTTAAAAATACTAAGACAATTACTAGCCAATAAAACTACGGAAAGGATATTTTTAGATAAAAGTTTAATTTGTACATTACCATTTGTGATTTAACCATTCTCCTACATCCTCGCCGACACCTTCTATTTAGCCTTTGAAGGAAACGCCATTGAACTATTAAGGCAGAAGACCGTTGTTGTTCTTAAATATATTTTTAAAAAATTATTAGGAAAAACGATATGTGAGCTTAGCTAGCACCGGAGAGGGACTATTCTGTGACCTCTTGGCAGTGCTAGGCATATTCATTAGGTGAATGTGGCACAGTTCAGCACTAGGTACACTCACCACATACAGGGGCTCTACTGACTAGGATTAACTAATCAGGATATGGATCTAAAAAAGTCTGGGAATATGGGGATTTCCTACAATCCTCCAACCCTACTACCGAATGATCTACCGGGTCGCTGTTTTAACCTCTTCTCTATTAAAGAGCCTAAACCTCCCCAGTAAGCGGTTTAAATGCTGGATCTCTATTTTTCCAAACAATATCATGAATAATTTTAATGACATCCATGGTGAGCGTTTATTAGAATAACAATTCAAAACTTCCTCACCTTCAACTCCCTGCTCTTCACCATCCAAAACCCCATCCCCATCCAAATCACCCCCAATTCCACCACCAACACCCCCAACCAAATGTTCATCACCCCCATGTTCATCATCATCATTTAATTGTTCAATATCCTCTGCTTGAGTTATCCAATCCAAATACCCTTTCAAATCTTCCTCCAATTGTTGTTTTTCTCTGAATTTTTGGAATAATCCTCTAGCATTCGCTTTTTCCCTTTCTTTTGAAAATTCTCCAGAGAGAACACCCAAAACGAGGTTTAGAACGAAAAAGGAGCCGAGAATGACTAATGTCACAAAGTATATCCATGGCCATTCACGTCCAACTGCGTCATTTACCTGCAAAAAATTTAAATTGATAATTTAGACCTTAAGATACACTCAATATTGGATACACCTCTATTTAAAGCACGCTTTTACGATACCCTCTGATCCTGAACCCAGAAAGTCCGGATATCCATGGATTTCAAAGGATCTGACAACCCTAAAAGGAGGTTATCTATATGATTACCTCCTTATAAGAACGCCCAATATGGATACACCTCTATTTAAGCGACACCTCGATTTAAGACTAGTCCTTGCGATACCCTCTATATAAGACAACCTCCTTATAAGAGACGCCCAAAATTAGCTAACACCTCTATTTAAGCGACATCTCCTCTATTTAAAATAACCTCCTTATAAGGTAGATTTTTCCAACCCTAAGGGTCTAGGTATCTTATACTCAACAACCACAACTCACCCAATACATAACATCAGTCCACCCTTCCAAAGACACACACTGAAATACCGTTAACATAGCCAAACCAATATTATCAAAATTAGTTATTCCATTATTTGGACCCTTTAAAAAATATTTTTTTATTTTTAAAAAAATTATTCTTTCCAAACCAGCCATGTTGTGTTAGGTGAACATATCCATTTATTATTCCGTGCATGTATAGCTGAGGAAAATGAGGACGGTTCACAATGATATGCACTTGGGGCTAGTCCACAAGTCTTTAGAAAAATTTTGAAATATTTTTTTTTGTGTTTTACATGTGTTTTTTTTGTATTTTTGTGTTTTAGTAATTTCTGTATTTTCTGTATTTTTTGTTCTTATATTTTGAGTGTGTTTTTGTGTTTTTTTTTGTATTTCTATGTATTTCCGTGTATTTGTGTGTTTCTGTATTTTCTATATTTTCTGTGTTTTCTGTATTTTCGTGTATGTGTTTTATGTATTTTGTGTTTTTAAATTTTTGTGTTTTTGGATTTTTGTGTGTTTATGTATTTTTCTGAATTTCCCTGTATTTTTGTGTATTTTTGTGTAGGTGTTTTTTTTGTATTTTTTCTGTGTTTTTTGTGTTTTTCAAATTTAAACATACCGAAGGATCTTTTTGTGCAAATTCCCCATTAGAAGTATCCACACTTTAATAAAAATTGATTTTTTTAATTAAATCATTCAAAATCCCCCCCCCCCCCTAACCAAGTCGAATGTAATTTTCCACAAAACAATTCCAACCCAATAATTGCATAAATTAAAATAACAAATAATACAAGCATTGCAATGTGTAATAAAGGTATCATTGCACGTAAGATAGCGTTGAGCACAACTTGTAGACTTGGAACGTTAGAAACTAATCTTAATGGTCGGAGAACACGAAAGGCACGAAGAGCTTTGACGTCAAATGCTTGGACGTTGATTCGAGAAAGTACTGTGCTGATTATTCTGTTTAAAAGAAAAATTCTGATTTTTAAGAGATTCTGATTTTTTAAAATTCTGATTTTTAGAATTCTGGACAAAAAATTTCTGATTTAAGTTCTGACTATTAGAAATTCTGAAGAAATTCTGACTTAAAAATTCTGAATTTTAATAAATTCTGATTTTTAGAAAATTCTGATTTCCAAGAAATTCTGATTTTAAATAATTCTGAAATTTAATAAATTCTGACTTAAAAAAATTCTGATTTTTAAAAAAATTCTGATTTCCAGGAAATTCTTATTTTTTAAAAAAAATTCTGATTTAATTTATGACTATAAATTCTGCTTAGGTATGCGAGGAATTCTGATTTTTAAAAATTCTGATTTAATAATTCTTAAAAAATTCTGATTTTTTAAAATAAAATTCCCCACCCAATAACAACAATAATAAAGTCAAGAATATTCCAAGCATTCCTCAAATATGCTCCCGGATGAAGTAAAAATCCAAGTGCAATAACTTTAATTATACATTCAGCAGTAAAAACAACAATAAATAAATATTCCAAATTCTCCAATACTGTATTTTTTGTATCTGAATCTTGCATTGGATAAGGCTGGTAAACGGCAAGGGCTATGCAATTGGCACAAATCATCTTTTTTTTAAAAAGAAAATTAATACTTTTTTAGAAGGAAATCTCTCAATCTTATCTCAAGTCGACACACAAGTTGCTTTGATATCACCCTCCTATATTCCACTTCTGACTTATCCCACACCCTTAGATACCTCAATCAGAGTGTTTCTCATGTCTCTAACTTATCACACCTTTTTATTCGTCCAAATCTCCCCGTTATCCCGGTCTGGGAATGCTTTTGAGTGGTGGAATAAACTGAGAAAAAATTCAAGAAATTCCAACCATAAGTATTAGCCATTCAAAAGGTCTCCATTCAGTGATAGATATGCAAGCTCTCCTTAAAGGATTTTGCACTGTAAGACACAATAGAGAACGTTCATTGCGTTCAACAGGAGTTTGCCTTAAAGGCTTTCTAGATTGCATTCTCCTTCGAGATTCTGGTTGTGTGGTGGCTGCAACGGCCGCCTAAAATAGAATTTTTTTGGAAATTCTTTCACAGAAAATTCTAAAATTTTCAACCCCCACCCCAGCAATCACCTGTAATGTTTGTTGCCACAAATCTGCTCTAGCTGCTGATGGTTGTTGTCCCACAATCCCAACAGAAGCAATATTCCCCGCCCCACCAACCGGTTGATTATTTTCCAAATAAGCTTGATTAAAGCCGGGAGAAGGGGGACGTCCATTTGGACTATTATTAACCCCTTCCTCCATTTTTAAATATTGCAAGGAGGTAGGGAATTAATTGCTGCTAATCTGTGGTAAATTTAAGAAAATTAAATTATGTGGTTAATAATAATATTAAAAAATTTTTTTAATAAAAATAAACGAATTTTTAATTTTATTAAAGGTAATAGAAAAATTTTTTTGGAAGAAAAAAGTTTAACTTCCTATAACGCCAGCTTCTGATTTTTATAAATTATTTAGAGCATACCCAGAATAATTTTTGAATAAAAATTGATAGTGTATGTATCTTTGGATTTGGAGACTATTTGTAAATAAATAATTTATTAGTTAGAACGGATCCAATAAGGATCTCTTATCAATAAATGAAAAACTAAGATAAATTAAAAGGCAAATAAAGCATTAACGAGCAAGTTTAAAATCTACGGAGCTCCTTAGTAAATTAAAAATAAAATAATTTTGGGAATTTAGGAGAAACACTAAAAATCATAAAAAAATATTTTGGAAGTATCACAAGCAAAATAAAAAATAAAAAAAATAAAATATTACAATTGTTTTTGGCACTTTTTCTTTAAAAAATACCCTTATCTCTCTCCCCCAGGATTCTCTAACCACTCTCTTATTTAACTCAAGTCTTTTTTAACATGTCCGGGTATTGAGTAAGAGAAAATGAGGGAAAGACTGCCAATATATTTCTCGGCTGGCTTTACGAGGCTAAAATATATGTAGAGAAATGGCGGATCAATAGGCAAGATAAAAGAGGTAAAAGAGAGGGAAATGGAGGAGATATTGGCTTATGCTGGGATTTCCTCCTTTGCATTTATTTTTTGAAAAAAATATTATTGGTATATTTGCTTTTGCTTGTTGCATATTTTTTGGAAAGATTTTTAAAAAGAAATTGAAAACCTGAAGAAATCAAAAAGAAAATTTTTATGGATTTGAATAACCTGATAACGAACCATCTTTTACTGGAACTGCGAATTTGGTATTTTTGGTACATCCGATAAAAGACCCCGAACTTCCTATTGAGAAGTAATATCCGTTTTCTTGCAAAATGACTTTGGGCCGAGTTATGGCCGTTCAAAGTTTCAGTTTCTGGGAGGTTTGAGTGGGACGAGAAATGAGATACTTCTACAATTACCCTCTCTCTCAAATGATTGCCCTTTCTTAATTAATTTCCCCTCTAACAAAAGGTTGAAACAATAATTATCCAGGGTAATTATTTGAGCATATACGGTAATCGTTTTATTTATTGGTAAGGCTTTATGTCTCCATAAGCAGACTTCTCCTCACTGTCTTTGCAAAATCAACCCTTTTCTCGAAAGAAAAAAACAAACAAAAAGAAAAATAAATTTGAGGAACGCCAACTTGATACAAAGCTTTGAAGCCTATGAGGACAAAAACAAGAATTGGGGCTTCCTTTTCTTTATTTACTAGCATGCATACACCAAAACTCAATCCATCATAAAGCAAGGACTTTGTTATTTTCTTGGGGGAAATGAGGGTGGAGATGGATCTCCGTTGCTCTTATTTATTGACTTTTGTTAATACTAGTTGCTTTTGTTAATAACAAATTTTTTTTTGAAAATTGAGTTGACCCTACCAAAAATTAATTTCTGGGTTCATAAAGGTCAAATAGGGGATTTAACTGTAATTAAAAAATTCACCTATTGTAAAGCATATAGCTATTTAATTCCTAAAGCTGTGCAGTAGGCGGCGTGTTGTAATGGATAACACAGCAGTCCGATCTACTGAAAGATGCTGGTTCGCTCCCAGCCTGCGAATAAGCTTCGCACTAGCTCAGGAGAGAAATAGCTTTAGCCCAGCTACTTTACTCTACTTTTGTTTGATCGAGGAAGAATAATTTTTCCCTAATAAATTATTAAAATTTAAATGACAGATGAAAATTCAGACTAAACATAAGCTACTATACCAACCAATGCCTTCTCATTAAAATTGACAAAAAACACGCAAGAAAAAATAATTTTTTTCGCGTCAATGCCATTAGTCTCTTTTCACTTTTAGTGCCAGAAATAATAATCCTTTAAAGAGAATATTAATGAAGGTATTTATTTCCATTTAAAATTTTAAGAATTAAAAGAAGCCTTGTAAGGGACATTTTTTAGAAAAAAATATTTTTGATTAAGTCGAAAACCTATGTCTATTAATTTCGCCAGTGAATGATCTAGGCAGTAATGATTTTGGCCGAAACCTATAGCAGAAGCAAAGGTTCAGAACAGGCACAACAATAAAAAGAACTAAATCTTGTTTTGAAGGATTTCAAGAAAAGAGAAGTTCATAATGTGAAAAAATTCATTGGATGGGAGATGGATTAGATTCAGGGTGGCCTTTTCCAAACCTCTAAAATAGGGCGCAGCCACTCACAAATATGGCAAAAATAGGGCAAAAAATAGGGAAAATCCTCTATAAATAGGGTAAAAAGGCCACCCTGATTAGATTAAAAATGTAGAAAAAAAAGAAGTTTCGGTTTCCATCATGGAAACCGAATCCATCATCAACCGTGTCACCATCAAGCCCTAAGTGGGTTATTTTTATTGATATTTATGTTTTTCTGCAAGTATAGAACAACCCTAAAGTTTCCAAAAAACCATTAATTGTTAAAAATATTAGAAGGGCGCTTTAAATAATTTCATAAATCAACAAATTCTTTTTCTAACGTCTAATAATTTTTATGACACATTCAATATTGCGCAGTAATTTTTATTATGTAAAATATAAAAGTTGCGAATAATCTCTGTTTAATATATGCTTGTTTTTGTCAAAATTTTAGAGGAACAACCATTAGAAATGAGAAAAAGAAGTGTAAATTATTTTTAAAATTTTTTAGTCCTTTTTAATGAAAATTTTTGTATTTTTAATAAGAACAAAAGGGAAATGAAATTAAAAAAAATAGTCTATACGAACATATGAAAACCAACAAAACAAATGAAAAAAAAATAAAGAAAAGGACGGAATCTTGACAAAAAATGGGGAGAAGAGAAGATAATAATAATAATAAAATATTAAAAGAATATAAAATATTTTCTGGCGGCACATAACCGCATGATTTTACTCCTTTTTTCACAATAAAAGAAAATTTTTTCTAAAGAAAAGAAGCTACTAATACCCTAATCTTCATTATGAAGTTACTACTAAAAATGTATTTCTTTAAAAAATTCAGAAAATAATTTAAAATTTGTCGGAACTAGAATACTTGTAGACAGTACAATCAACGCGATTTTCTTGTTTAATTGGAAGCTTAAATTTATAGATAGAACTGGACTTGGATAAAAATTTTGGACATTAAAATATTTTCTTTTAATGGATTGATATCAAAACTGGTTTCTTAACTAAACTTAAATGCTATGCTTAAATTAAAAAAAATAGTCGAGTCATTTGAATGTAGGGTTGGTGGATCTGGATCCGAAAAAGCCCGGATATCCAAAAAATCAGATATATGGGGATTTCCCAGGATCTGCCATCCGTAATTGTATGTACAGACCAGGGAACGAGACGACAAGAAAACAAAATTCCCGATTTCGGGAAATCAGGTCGGCTCGTTCTCTGGTACAGACCTATCTTTCTCGCTTACTAAATTGTAAAAATTAAAATGGGTAGTGAATGTGACCAGTGAATTTATTCAATATAAAAGCAACTTTTGTAATATTATTTCCAAAAAAAGGGAAAAAATGCGAAGATAACAAAATAAAAATTTTTTAAAAGAAAAAAGAGGTAATTATGTGCCAATATCATGGCTACAACTTTTTTTTTCTGGATGATTGCTATATAGGAATTGAGGGAATATAAAATAAAGATATTAAAATATAAAAATTACTATTTTGCTTATCCTTGTCAATTCTGCACTTTTTGTATGTGATGAATAAAAAAAGGCTTTTAGGGTGGTCAAATAATAAGTGTCAATTTGTTTAGAATGTAAAAATTAAATTTTTTGTCGAGGTTTTTTATGGGCAAAATAAAAAGGATTATTTTTTCTTTAATCCATGCTTTTCTAATAATTTTATTTTCTTTTTTTTTGTTTTTATGGCTATACTTTTGCACACTTCAATTCCCATTGATCACTACCAGCTGAAGCTGCAGCTGAATCAATACTTGATGTTTGAGGTGGAGGAGGCCAAAGACCTGAGGTCGAATTCATTTGTTGTTGTTGCTGCTGTTGGGAGTGAATATCAAAATCGCTGAGCAGTGAAGCTAAACAAGTCAAAATTAATTTTTAAAATTATCCTGGGAGAGGAGTATGAGGAAACCCACTCAAATGAGGAAGCCCCGCTCAATTTAGAAAAGAAAACTACCTAATGCCTAACAACCAAAAATTAATTTTAAAATTTTAAAATTTACAATTTTCTAATATCTGTTGTTGATGTCCACCAGGCATAGGCCCCCCAGAACTCATTGCAATTGATACTCCACTAGCAGTACTCAAACCAGGAGGCGGTAGCATCATTCCCCCTGCTCCACTTGTTGATGGTGGGAGGTTCATTGCAGAAAAGGCAGTGTTTTCAACACGAGATATTTGTCTTTCGTCTTGTTCTCCATACTCACAACCCATCATCAGTGGTTCACCAACTGTGAGAACATCGTGGTGATATTGGCCTGGTGGTGGTACTCCTCCCAAAGGGTGAAACTAAAGAAAAATTTAATTTTATGTTGAGTGAAGTAGAAAATTTCTAATTTACCTGTCCAGGCGGTCCAAGAGGAAATCCACCAGGCCCCATTGGAGGCATTCCTGCTGGGGGTGTCTGTTGGCCAGCAGCAGCCAAATTTGAGTTTGATCCCATGCTCTTTTTTCCTTTAGGTGGGGAACAGTTAGCTGCCATTGAAGAGGAAGGAGTTGTAGCACATCCACTCGTAGCAGCCATTGAAGAATTAGCAACATTAGCTTTTCGTTGTCTCGTCCGTTTCGGTTTAGGTTTTGGTTCTTCTGCAGAAGAGGAAGCATTTGTATTTGCTAAACAAAAAAACATATTTAAAAATTCAGAAATTTAAAAAAAACCTGGAGGTTGCATAGCACCCATAGACGGAGGCGGCATTTGTGGCGGACCCATTCCAGCACCTCCACCCATAATACCCATCATTTGAGGTTGTCCATTAGCTGAGATAAAATTTGCATTATTTTGATTATGTGGAGGTGTTTGCGTATGAGAGCCTGATGCAGCTACAACAGCCATTCTCTCCCTTTCCATTTCTATCCGTTCAGCAACAAGCTGGTGTAACGCATCTTTAGGTGTCTAAACAAAATGAAATTATATAAAAACAGGTAAGACTCTTGGATATTTTGCACGTCAAAAGAGGAAAGTCAGTGTCAAAAATGTCAGTGGTCAGTCAAAAATATGCTCCAGATAAAATTTAATAGCTCGATTGAACCCTAAAAAGACCCCTAAAAATAGTAAAAACCTGATTTGTCTCTTTCACGCGTTCAACAATTGGCTGCATTTGATCCATCATTTGCCACATTTTCATTTCTGACAGTGTTTGCAATGGAAGACCCAAACACGTTGATTTTCTGTCTCCCAATGGTTGAATACCATTTGCATAAAATTCTTGACAAGACCTCAACTCGATGGACCATTCACGGATCCGATAACCACAAGCAGGGTTAAAAGGCGCAAATCTTATGAATAAGCGACATTCAGTTTGCACCTAATTATTAAAAAATTAATTTTGAAAGTAGAAATGGGATTTAAATGAAAAGATGAGAGAAACAAAAAAGTTGAGTTCTAATCAAAATTTTGGATTTTAAGACAAGCAGGGAAATTTTTATAATTCATGAAAATAATGGGTAAAAAGGGCGTATCCAGGGGTTCGATTACGGGGGGGGGGGCTAACATTGGAGGCGCGCCAAAATTTCGGCGTTTACTTTTGCGTTCCGAACACAAATTTTTTGCACTTAAATTTTTATTTCTTCAGCCCCCAGACACCTAAATACGTCATTGGTAGGTGAAATGTAAAGACAAGTACATTTAACAAACCTCAAAAGTAATTTATCTAAAAAAAGTAAACCTGTACTTGCAATGGTTTTTCATGACTTGTCCCCATCAAAAGATTTTCACAATTTAACGCACAACAACCAAAAGCTTCTGGAGTTATCCGTATTGGTTCAACAAATTCTTGGGCTGGCGAACGAAGATCAAAACGCAGTTGGTTTATGCCATTTGAAAAAAGTGAGCGGAAGAACCGGGGGATAAAATGTCGAGAAATTGCTAAAAATGAAAATTTTGGAAAAAAACTTGAAAATCTTACTAAATCGCTTGAGTAAAAATCCGCCCTGTTCAGCGGAATATTCTTGCATGTAAAAAGCCATAGATCCTAAGTCGTCAAAGAACTCCTGGGAAAAGGCATCCCACCACTGCTCGTGACTTTCAGATGTTGCCTAATAAATTGAAAAAAATATAAAAAAATTTTTTAATCCATCGTCAAATTTCGATTTTGCCAAAAAAATATTCCGGTTCAACCCTTCCCATGGGAATATTTTCGAAAATAAAATTTGAAGTATAGGTAATTTAAGTATACCTGTTGAAATTGACTATGAAATGAATAAAGCCTCCTATTCATCTCTTGCAGCCGAAATTCAAGAAAAGGAGGTTGAGGAATGCTAGGCGGTGGGAATAACATTCTAAAAGAAAATTTGATTCAAATTTTTTAATTAGAAAATACCTGGGAAACGGGCCAGGAAACATTGGGTGTGGAGGTAGAGGAAGTTGATGAGGCTGTGGAGGCATTTGCTGTGGAGGTGGACCTTGAGGAGTTGATATAGGGCCAGGTTGGTTTGGAGCACCAGAATGATGAGGATGCATTGGCGGGACCATCTAAAATTTATAAAATTGAAATTTTTGATAAAGGAAAATTTTTAAAATTAAAAACCTGAAGGTGAGGTGATTGGACTTGACCAGGGTGAAATTGTTGTCCGCTACTTCCAGGAGGCAAAGGGCCTCCCATTGAGGAAACAGGGGGGCCTTGAACTGATTGAGGCTGTTGCATCATCATTTGCGGAGGAGGTCCTGAAGGTTGCCCATCGCCAAACATAGGCATTGGAGGAACAAAATGTGGTGGCATTCCAGGAGGACCACCACCCTGAGGCGGTCCTTGTTGGTAAAAATCAAAAGGTGGCCCCTAAAGTAACGGAATTAAATTTAAAATAACTTAAAAAATACTTGTGGATTGCAGAAACCAGGCCCTCCCATTCCATTTGGCCCTTCATCAAGCTGTTGAGGACCACCAGCAACACCATTTGGAAGTCCTTGATGTTGAAGATGATGCAACATATGAGGCGGAATTCCATGATGTCCATCCATAGGACCTCCTCCGCCTCCTGGACCACAACCTGGAGGAAATCCGCCTCCAATCATTGCTTGATGAAGAGGAGGTTCAAGCTTCATTCCCCCTCCATCTACTGATGGTGTACTACAAATTGATGGAGTTTCTTTTTTCTTGCGCACACGGGGTTGTTTAACATTAGTAGCTGCATCGCCGTCAACATTCTTTCGCCTAGGCATTTTAAAACAGCAGACTAGGAATGCAAATTAATTATGATCAATATGTAAATATTTCAGCTTATAGTTAGAAGGGGTCTCCACTGACCACCGACTGTCAGATATTTTATTCAGTAATTTTTACAATATCTGAAATTGAAAAAAAATATTAGAGAAAAACACAAAATTTTAAAGAAAAAAATTTCTTGGCAAAATGTCTATTTTTAATTTAATAGAAATTTTAGCCTAAAAATCAATGTCCATGAACAAAAACCTATAATAAGCGTAGGTAAAAATGAAAAAAAATCAAACTGGTCAATACATTACTAGTATATAATTGTTCGCATGTATGTGAAGCTGGCAAATTTGAGAAGAGAAGGATACATTTTTCACTATTTTTTTTCTCACATCCCGACAACCGATCGAATATGACTAATCACCGGCATCGAAAGCCCCTTAATAAAACCAGCAGAGCCAAGCAGCAGCAGTCGACCAACTCGCAACAACCACTACCACCATTACAAACCCGCGCCCGAAGTGCGATATTGTAGGGAATAGCATGCGCAAAAGGATGAAAAGTTAGAGATAATGAAGAGTGAGAGATAATGCATAAAAATGAGTGCGCTATAAAAGGAAAAGAAAACAGAGTAAATTCATCTTTCATTCACTCACCGTTCTCTCTCTAACACTAACAGGTTTAGCATTAATAGTGCTATTTTCTTACGCTTTTCCGCTTGTTTTTAGAGCAAAGAGGATCGTAACAAGTTGCTTCTTCAGTTCGCGCGGCATTAAATCCATTGTTAAAGTACGTCAATGTTTTTGGAAGAGGTGACTTTTCGGAAGTTTTTTTCTTCGCACTTTGGAAGGAGTCTTGTACTTTTACTTTCTTTAAATTTTGACGTCAGTTTGCTGGAGGACAAAAAATTTTTGTTTTTAAAAATTAAAAATATAAAGTTCAAAAACAATAAAAATATTCAAAAAGATTGGCATAATTTTTATTTGGAGAGAAAAAAAAATAAAATTTAAAGAATTATGGTAAAATGTTGACAGGATTTATAAAATCTCTTCACTAAAGAATCTTCACAAAAAATCTCCACTTCCAAATTAAATTGTTATACATCATCATATGTTCGATTTGGCATATTTTCTTTTTGGCTTTCGGTAATTACACGTAAAGTATTTTGTTTGACAAAGTTTTGTAGGGTTTCGATAAATTCAATCTTTGACTTCATTAATCTATAATGTGCCAGACTGAAAAAAAATAAATTAAAATTTAATTTTATTAGAGAAGTGTCGTTAATCCTTAGAAATTGTCGTTAATCACTGTTCTTAAAAACTGTTCACTAACCCTCCTCCCCCCCCCCCCAAAAAACCCCCCAAAAAACTTATATTTGTCTTACATTTCCGCACCAAGCTTTTGCTGCTCTTCAATAACTTTCACTAATTCAGCAGATTTTGAAGGAGACTGATTATGAGAATTGCTTTTTCGATTCATCATTGAAGCAATTTAAATTGACGATTTAAAAGAATTAAAACAAAATTCTAAAAATTAAATAAAAATTTAAATTAAATTTTCTAACAATCGAAAAAACTCTAATCAATTGCAACGTTTATTCAAGCCTTTCAAAAGAATTTAAAAAAACTCAAAGCCATTAATCAACAAAAAACTCCCATCTTTTAATAAAGAGTAGGTATTTTAATTTATTAATTATGTAAATTACCACTTTGAAATTTCATGTGAAAATAGTGTGGAAAAGTAGGAGAGACAGAGAGAAAAAGACAAAAACGTGGTAAGTTTTTAGTAGTGACCGGGGCCGGACCGGATCCGGCCGGATTTTTCCGGAGTCCGGGTCCCAAATCCGGATTTTTTTGAAATTTCCGGATTAAAACCGGACCGGATTAATCCGGAGAAATCCGGCCGGATCCGGTCCGGCTCTAGTTGCAAATCCGGATCCGGGTCCGGCAAATTTTGAGCACCGGATTTGGGATTTTATACGGTTCTGGAATTTTCCCATTTTTTCTTGTATTATTTATAAAAAAGGAGGATTTTTGACCCCTAACTATACTGAAATTAAAAAAATTTTGCCTGCGGCGCTGAAAAGGGATGCATTCTTCTTTATCGGCCTTCCAAAAATCGTACCCGGAAGGCACGACTGAGTTCCCCTTATATATACATCAACTGAGTTTCAGTAATAGGCCGAAAATAGGGTTGGTATGGAGAGTCTAAGCTTCATGGCTATCTAAACTTCAAAAAATTTTGCCTGCGGCTCTAACAATAGAATTTTTTCTCCTGAGGCCTCCCAAAATTCTCTCCTGAGGGCCTTCTAAAAAAATGGAAGAAATCTGGCTTCATAGCCTTCAAAGATTTTCAAAATTTGCGCCTGCGGCGCAAAAAAGGGAGAAATCTGACTTAAGCGCCTCAAAATTCTCAACATTTTCGCATGCGGCGCATGGAAGGGATTTGGGATTAAGAGGATCCTTGGAGGAAATATTGGAGGAAATATTGCTCCTTGGACTCCAAAATGCTCAAGAATTGGCAGGTACGAGTACGAGGTAAAGATAGGCCTGTACGAAAATAGGAGCAAATTTCAAAATTCCAATCACGCATTACTTTATTTTCTTTTAAACTTTATAACTTTTAACATCGAAAAATCCACAAAATATCCTTGATAGCCTCCAAAATCCTTAGATATCCCCTCTAACAACAACTTAAGACATAAACGACACACATCTTACAAAATTTTAACGCTAAAAACGTCATAGAAAAATTTTTTTTGAAAAATTCAAAAATATCCAAAATCCGGTCCGGAATCCGGATAATTTCTGCCGGACTCCGGAAATTATTTTTACCGGATTAAAACCGGACCGGATTTATCCGGAAAAATCCGGCCGGATCCGGTCCGGCTCAAGTTGCAAATCCGGAATCCGGATCCGGTTCCGGAAAAATTGATTTTACCGGTCACTAGTTTTTAGGGAAGTTTTTAGGGAGGTTTTTGGGGAAGTTTTTTCTCGTTTTTCTTGCAAACCTCGAAAGTTTTATTCTTTCCCCAATTTAAATTCCCCAAGCAAAACTACACAAACTTTTATATTTTTAAATATTCTATTTTTACTTTAACAACAATTTTTATTTCCTCAATTTACACGTTATTAAATATTTTTTCTTATTTAAAACAAATTTTTATTTTCAAAAAGGCATGACTTGCTATGATTTTTGACTGACACAAGGAAGCAAAAAATAAGAGACATAAAAAAGGTTTTTTTCCAAATATATTTAACTAACGCTGATTATACATTGCAGAGACACCCTTCCCTTCGTCTATTTATTTTAATAAAAATTTATTAAAAAACTCAGTAAAAATTGACGCTAAAACTCTTATTTACACTGCTAAACGGAAAAGGGGAATAAAATGCGATGTTGAGGTAGAAGACTCCATTCGGCCAATAATTATTAAAACTGATATGAAGCAAAATAGAGGTTTATGTGAAGAAATGGTAAGAAATTTTTATTTTTTAATTTGAAGAACTTTTAAAGAAATTTTCTTTAAAATTTTCTTAAATTTTCTTCTCTGATTCTGTGATTGAAAAATAAAAATAAATTTCTTTTTAGTTTCGCCTTTTGTTAATGGTGGCATTGTATTATCCACTTTCTGTTGGACTTACTTTCTATCAGAAGTGGTTTATTAAGGTTGTTTTTGGTTTTAAATTTGAAAAAGAGAAATATTTTTTGAGGATTCCCCACGGAGTTTTTTTCTTTCTTTTCAGAAAGTAGTTGTAAAATTAAACAAGTCATAGAATTACACAAATATTCAACTTTACATTTGCTTGTTTTTAATGTGTTAAATTTTTTGTGATTCCTCTGCTCTTTTCTGATGTGTTAAAAAGCGGTTGAAAAATTCCCAGCTAATAGCTACTCTCCTCCATTCTTTGCTACATTGCTTTTCCCATTTGTGGTTGTTAAAATTCTCCGCAACCTTCCCTAAAAAATATTTGATACTCGTGTGTTATCTCCTCTTCCCCCATTTTCCTTTCCGAATTTGACCTTTTAATAGGCGATCAGGCTTGATCTATCCAGCTGGGAAAAAGATAGCGCTTATCGAGAGCTTTGAATGTTTTAAGATTCATTCGGTTTAGATCAAGCATAAAAAAGTTATTGCCGATCAAATCCAGAAAAAAAGGAAAATGGAGGGAAATAACATAAGAGTACTAAATATTTTAAACAAATTTTATTTACTAAAAATTTAAATTTCAAACTTTTTAGCATTATCGACTTCCTTTATTTATTGTTACCGGGCATTATGTAACAAAATATTTGATGGCCCTTGCAATCCGTTCAATTGTTGAATTTTTACAAAAAAATAGACGGGTACGTGTTCCACTTCGTGAACAATTAAGATGGTTAATGCCAATTGGATTTTGTGCTTCTTTGGATATTGGACTGTCTAATTGGTTTTTTCCTTTTAATTTATTTTTAATTTTTAAAATTTATTAAAGGTCTTTGGAGTATGTAACAGTTTCATTGTATACAATGGCCAAGTCCAGTTCAATTTTGTTTATTGTTGGATTCTCATTATTTCTCAAGTTTGTTTCTCTTTTAATTTTGAGCCCCTGAAAGTTAATTTTGGAAAATTATTTAAATTATGTGGAGGAATTTGTGGCTTGAATATATGTGACTGAAACTTTCATTTAGCTTTCCCCCAATTTTTTGCCTTCAAAAATGCTAGTCTTGTCCATTTGGAAAATTATTATTAGGACTCAAAGTTCGATTGGACTCATAAAGTCAAGTAGAACCCTATGAACTATAAACTAACAATAATTTTTCGTAAGGACTGATCCGAAACGAGATATGAACAAAAATATGGATCTCGTTTCTCGACAACCTTCCCAGTCCAGTCTCTAATATCATCTTATCAAATTTTTCATTAAAGAAACTTTTTCTTCATTTTTTAGACTTGAACGCTGGCATTCAAGTTTGGGCGTGTCTGCATTTTTAATAGCTGTCGGGTTATTTCTTTTTACTTTGCAATCTACACAACTTGATTTTAGAGGTTCTTTTAAATTTCTGAAGTTTTTCTAATTTTTTATAGGACTTGTTCTCGTTGAAATGGCTGCACTTTGTACAGGTTTTAGATGGACAATTTCTCAATTAATTATGCAAGGAGAAGAGTGTTCAACTCCTGTGAGGCATCCTCTAGATATGGTTAAAAATTAATTTCAAGCTTTTTTCTATTAAACAAAATTTTATTAATTATGCCTAATTTTGGGACTTTGGAGGGCCATATCTTGGCTAGTTCAAAAAGCGGGCAAAAACGGCTCAAAATCCTTGCTAGAAAGGGCACATTTTCTATTGAATGAGCCCGGTCTCGATTTTTAGGTCGGACACCTCGCAACCTCTTCTTTTAAGTAAAAATTCTAAAATGGTACAGAATTTTTTATTTTATCTCTTGAAAAGAATTTTTTCCAAAAAAATTCAACCTTTTGTATACTTAATTTCTCCCTATTTTAAGATGATTGCTGTCCAACCATGGATGTTCATTGCCATAGTCCCAATTGTAATAGTAGCTGAAGGACCTGAAATGACGTGGGAAGTAATTACTTCATTTCATAATGAATATGAACCTGCACTTGTTTTTTCTTTAATTTTTTCTGGAGGAATTTTGGCGTTTTTAATGGAATTTTCTGAGTTTGTTTTTTTATTTTGAAATTAGTTTTAATTTGGTTTTTTTAAAGATATCTTCTTTTGGTTAACACTTCTGGTATTACATTGTCAATTGTTGGAATTGTGAAGGTAAACCTTTTTTAATAAGAATTAATTAAATTTGGATGTTCTACGTCCGTATACGTCCCCATAAATTAGGAACGTAGACGTTTTCTTCTGTGATATCATGGAAAGTCCAACGGAAAGTCTTATGGAACTTTGTGTTCGTCTCGGTAAAAAAAAACATTTCCTTGAGGTAAAACTGGAGTCCTAATAGTTCTCACAATCAGCTCAAAATATTTTATTTGAGAAAAGGGGGTGAGGTTCCCTGAGATTTTCCATAAAAAACAGGGATTTAGCCGAACCGACCAATTCGCGAAATCGAGAAAATTTATTTTTTATGTCGGATAGATCCTTGTCTTTGTCAAAGTCTTCCTATCTAAAAATATTTTTTTCTATTTTTAATAAAATTTTCACTTTTAGGAATGTATCAGCCTTTTATTAGCACACCAAATTCACGGTGATCGTCTTTCTGATATAAATATTGTTGGTTTGGTTCTCTGCGTTTTGGGGATGACTTTACACAGCATTACAAAACATACACGTCACAAATCAGCAGTTTTAAGTTCCCCAACCCCTTCAAGATGTAATTCTCAATCTTTGTCTTCTCCTTCCTCCTCACCACAATCTATGGGCATTGGAAGGAGAGGAACTTGTGGAAAAATAAATAATAGTACATCCAAAAAAGTTGTGGAATTGGAAGATAGAAGAAAATTACTTATCCCAGAACAAACAATTATTTAAAAAAAGGCAATTAAAAATACAAGAAAAATATTGTGATTATTTTTTAATTTATTTATTAATATTATTAATTAAACCCTAAGGCTATTAAGAGAAATTAAAAATTTTTTAAAATTAAATTACAAATGTCCGAAACGCTTTTTTCAATTTTTTATTATTCGTGCTGACGTCCAAAAGATCGAAAACCTATTGTTCGCTATCCATCTAACACCTATCCACCTATGTTGGTGAACGGGTACACCCCGATGTACCGCGAGCCCAATGTACCGCCGAGCTATAACTTTGTTCAAAATTGTCGAATCCATGGCGGCCCGGTATGGTTCGATTCAGCTGGTCGAGACGCATCGAATCATACTAGGGCGCCACGGATTCGACAATTTTGAACAAAGTTATAGCTCGGCGGTACATTGGGCTCGCGGTACACTGGCCTGCTCCCGTTGGTGAACACACTTATCCACGTCCAATATTTTATTTGTTGATTTTTTAATTTGATTTTCTCACTGTATTTTCTTAAGGTTTTTAGGTTTCGATCTTGCGGATTGACCTTTTTATTTTTTTTTCTCCCAATTTCTTCCTGTTGTGAAAAAAATTTTTTTTGTAATTATACCAGGTTTATAAAAGAGGGAATGGACTTTTCTAAATTATTTTACAAGAAAAAAGAAAAATCCATTCCTCTTTAATCCCTTTAATTAAATCACTTCGCAAAATTTTTATTCAAGTTTTTCTATTCTTTTACGTCTACTTCCGTTAATTTTTTATTTTTTTTACCTTTTTTTCTCGTCAGCTTTCTGATATATTAAAAAGAATAAAATATCGAAGAATTAAAAAAATATTTTTTGTTCTTTGATCCATTTGTTGACGTCTGTCTTGTCTAAAAAGTACTTTTAAAAGAACACATTTTATTTTTTCTGTTAAATTTTTATTTAATAAATAAGCCAGAAATTTAGTTAAATTCTCTCATTATTTTATTTTTAAACCTTAAATAATTTTTAAAATTGTCTCAAAAATTAAAAAAATAATATATTTTAGACTTCCGCTCCACAAAATTTTTTTCGAAATTTCGACTTTAAATTTTGGTAGACTATAAGGAGTTTAGCAAAAGTTTAGCCACTGGGCAGGATTCGAACCTGCGACCTCCCGACAGTTATTGTAGACATTTTCGCTCACCACATACAGGAGCCCTACCACTGAGCTACCTGGGCATCAACTAACATATAAGCCTTCTATTTTATCCTTTTAGATCGTTCAACCCCCGCCTAAGCGTTTTAAATGCTCTAGGTGAAATCAGCCTTACAGATTTTCGAATTTATTTTCGAACGTTTCTGTAGATTGGCATCTTTCTACATATATTTTCTTAGGCGTTCTTTGGAGGTCTTGATTTTTAATTGGTAGTTGATCAGCGTCTCTATCTTTTGGGTTAACCCCCTCCCAAACACCAAAGTATGTTTAAATTAGGAAAAAAAATTTAAAAATAAAAGTCATGTGCTAAGTGTTTATTTACACATTTTTTTAAATTTATTATGTATGTAAATTCTTTAAAAAAACTTGGAGAGAATTTGTTGACTTCACCCCCCCCCCTCTCCTTTCCATCCCCCTCTCCCCCATTCCAGTCCCCTCCTTACTCCCTCCATTTTCAATCCCCCCACACCCATCCCCTCCATTCCCCCACTTCCCCCTCCTCCATTACTCCAGTCCCCCCCTCCCCCCCTCCCTCCCCTCCACCCCCCTTACTCCAGTTCCCCCCTACCTCTTCTTCCATCAACAAAAAAATTTATTTATGTAATCTCTCCAACCAAAAATAAAAAGTTTTTTTCCTCACCTTTTTCTATTTTTGCTTTGAATTTTCAATTTTATTCACCGCCTTTTACTTGTTAAGCGAGGAAATTTGTGAGGCGATCGGAGACATGTCGCGACACAAATATTCCTCCTTAAAAATGTTCGCGCCTATTTTTAAATATTTTTTTTTATTTTCAAGACTCATTCCTTTCATTAAAAAAATTATTTACCTATATAAATTGAACAAAGAATTTTTAATTTTAAAAAAATATTTTTACTTAATATTAAATTTTATATTAAAAAAATTTTTTTTTTAATTTTATTTTTAAAAATATTTTTTTAATTCTTGCAAAGGTATATTTTTATTTATTTATTTTTTCCATTTCGATTGGAGTTTCTGTTAATTACTTTTTTTCAATTTTCTCTTGTCAGCTGTTCCTAAAATTAATTTTTCTCTTTAACATTTAACAAAACTAATATTTTTAATACCCTTAAAAGCGGTTTATTTAACTTTGAAAAATTGCCGTGTTTAAAAAAGATTGTTTTAGTTATTGATTTATTTACTCAAAAATACCCTTTCAATTTTATTGTCTCTCTCTCTTCTTTATTATACTCTCTATTTTCATCATACTCTCTAATATAACTAATTTGGGGACACGCCGGCGCGCAGCCATAACGGCGCAAAGCCATAACCTCCTTCAAGATTTCCGAATCTTACCAAATTTAGTATTAAACGATTCCTCTCATCGAGCTAAAGAGATTGATACCAAAATTGAGAAGGGCCAGAAATTTTCCAGCAAGTTATAGCCTTGCGCCGTTATGACCGCGCGCCGATTTGTCCCTTTATAATTTCCCTTTATATTTTCTCTGTTGACTAGAAAGTTTTTTGCCAACAAAAAAATTTTAATAAAATTTTGGGTTTTTCTTCCATTTTTATAGACTTCAAAGACTTTAAAACAAAACCTTTCTCCTTTTCTTTTAAACCTTCCCTCCCTCTCATTTACATAAAAATTCTATTTTTTACCCAGTCTAACCGGATATATACACTGAAAAAATTTTTTTCCCTTTTTTTCAGACACACACAAGCACACACATTTTTACTTGACAGCAAACAGAAAAAATAAATAAATTTATTTGAGGATATTCCCTTTCCTCGTCTCTTCTTTTTTTTTGACAACAAGAGTCAAAGCACTTTTACTTGAAATAAGCTAAACGAGAAATATTTAACAAAAAAGTTTTTTGGGGGCAGACATTTTACAACAAACACAAAAATGATTAATAATTCTTTATAGCTTCTTTTGGGAGGATTTTCTTCTTCATTTTTTATTGATTTTTCAAGAAAATTAGCTTCAAAGAAATTCTTCAAAAAATCCCCCTTCCCCCTCTAAATGTGCACAAAAGACAACACAAATTCAAAACAAAATGGATCTTCTTCAACTTCAAAGGAAACAGAAGAATATCCTAAACCTTCGTCTTCCAAAGATTATAATAAGGAGGCTGGAAAGGCTGCAAATGGGGATAGAATAAGAGACAAAGACGGGTACAGGCAGAGAGCGGTTAGTTTTGATTTTTTTGGATTTTTTTGATTAATGAAAACTTGGGAAAAGTTTTTTTCTATTTTTAAAAATTAAAAGAAAATTTTGTCACGATATTTACTGAAAATTTAATATTTTTGAGTACTTTTAATTTTTGCGGACAAATTATTTTTGCGGACAATATTTGCGGACAAATTTTATAAATCGATTTTTTTTATTCGGCCCATCCCGTATTTTTCAATTTAACATTTTTAACGTGTTTATAATTTTGCGAAATTTTTGGGACGACTAACGACTATTTAATTAACACTTAAATGCTAATATGTAAGTGGTTTTGTCCGCAAATATATTTTCTGCAAAAATTATAAAAAAATTTTCAAATTTTTTCAAAAATTTTTTCGATAATCCAAAATAAAATTTTTTGCCAAAAACTGTAGAGGAACACTTCTCTTTATTCTAAAGGCTGCTTTCTGTCTACGATTATCTTCAAATGATGGCGATAACCAAAATATTATTATTGATGAATTTGGCAATATTCAAAGTGTCAAAGCCCCTTTAGAAGTTCTTTTGGTTAGTGGAAGGAGGGATGGAAGTGCTGAAAATTATTGGGTATTGCCCGGGGGAGGTGTTGAATTGAAGGTTTTATTTGAATTTTTTGGATGACATTTTATCCCATTTTTTAAATTTTAAAGGAAAGTACAGAAGAAGCTGTTGTTCGCGAATTAAGGGAAGAGGCTGGAATACAGGGTCAAGTGTTATTCCAAATTGGAAAATTTATTGTAAGAATGATTTTTTATTTTAAAATTTTTGAAAAGATTTTCAAAAGGGGATGGCTATAGAATAAATTGTTTTGAGATTTTTCCAAAGGAAATTTTTGGGGTTATCAGACTAGTTTGCTCTGTGACACTACATTATTTAAATTTAGTAGTAAAAATGATTAGATACCGGACGGAAATGGTCGTATGAGTATCGAGATCAATCTCGATAACCGAGAGTTTTGGTCGAAACTCGTCTCGCTTCGGTCTCTAAAAGACCCTAATAATCTGTTTTCCGACCCTCTCGGATAAATTTTGGATTTTCTAAAACACATCCCTTCCCTTGTAATATTATTTTTCGGATTGATTAAAAAAATAGAGACAGATTATTTATTTTTACTTTTGGAAACCCCATAAAAATTAAGGAAATTTATTTAATTATTTTCAGGACGACCAACGTTTTCACCACACAACACTTTATGCTCTGAGCGTTCTAAAAACTTTTGATGAATGGGAAAATTGTGAAAATGGAAGGGAACGTCGTTGGATGAATTTAGAAGAAGCTAGGCGTTGTGTTAAACCTAATCAATTGGCAATGTTGGAACAAAGCATTACAGCGTTTGTTTTTTTTTGAAATTTTTTGGGACTATATACTATTTGTATTAACTAAGTTTGGACGATCGGGATCCCAGGAAAGTCTAGATATCCAAAAATTTCTGTTCTGATATCTTATCGAGGATATCGGGACTTCTCAGGATCCGCCAGCGAATCAACCGCTTCAAAAGTCGAAAACTTTTAACCCTTATGACTTTTCGAAATGGGGGTCAGGGGAAGAAAAGTCAGAAAATTCCAATAGGTTTTCGACCACGCTCTACACGATAGGGTACTTTTTATTTGAAAATTTTTGGTCACAATTTGAAATGGCCCCTTGTATTAACGTTTTCGGGTATTTAGGTAATAGTGTCGTTCGGCCCTTTTTTATATTTATTCTTGGTTTTGATGGTTGGGTTTTATTGGATCCGATTTGTCTTTTTTTTTGAATAAGAAATCCATATATTCTGAACAAACATTGTGGGAATTAGAGGGTATTTTCAAAAATCCTGGATCTGGATTTAGTTTAGTAACCTAGACAGGATTCTTGATCTGAATCCAGGAAAAATTCAGATCAGAAAAAATCCAGGACGATCAAAAAATGCCTGGATATGGACCGGATCCAGTAAAAATCCAGACTGGATCCAGATCCAGGCCGATCTTTAGTAGGAATCATTATAAAAAATTATAAGAAAATGGGATTAAATGTCCTCTCCCTCACACCTTTAAAAAAATAAATTAAAAAACTAATTTATTTAAGAGTTGAAGAAAAATGGCTGTCTTGTGTTCTCACATTGCATCGGAAAAAATGTTTTAATATTTCTCCAAATTTAATTTTAACAATTTTGGGAGAAACAAAAAATAATTTAAATGAAAATTATTTAATTAATTCAGCGCAAAATATTAATAATAATACTAAATTTTGACTAAAAAATATTTTTTTGTTTTATATTTTTGATTTTGTATTTAGCATTCAAAAAAGGGAATTTTATATAGCTTTTTAAATATTCGAAAAAAAATAATTTTAGGGGTTTGTCCGCAACTTTTATTCTGTCCGCAACTTTTGTCCGCAAAAATTTTTTTCTGTCCGCAAAAAATTTTTTTATCCGCAAAAAAAATTTTTTTTTGTTGAATGCTAAATAGTTAATAATTATTTTTTTTAGAAATTTTATTTTTATTTTTCCTCTTTAATCTGTTTAGTCATTTAAATTGACGAAAAAAAAATTAAAAAAAAATTTTTTAAAAATAAATTTATTTTTAAACACCTCTTTGCATAAAATATCTGGGCATTTTTTTCTTTAAAAATCTTGTCTGCTTTCTTAAAAACGGAAAAAAAAATTTTTAAATAAAAATTAAAAAATTTCCGCAAATTTTTGTCCGCAAAAGAGAATTTCCTATTTTTTCTTTTTATTTTGACCATTAATATTTTACTGTTTTTTTTGTTTTTTATTGGATTAAAAATTTAATTTCTTTATTTTTTTGCTTCTTTTCAATCAAATTAAATTAATTTTTAAAATAATTGTGGATAAATTTAAGAAATATTTTTTTTATTTTTAATAGATTAATGAAGTTATTAAATTATAGTAATATTTGCCAATCCTTGAGAAGATACAATTCTGTTAAACTATTGTTGGTTGTTGTCAATAATAATTGTGGTCAGGTTTAAATTAATTTTTTTGGGGAAAGGAAAGGGTTGGAGGTGAAGGGTGAGAAAGATTTCTTAAATATTTTTACCATTAGAGTCGACTTTAAAAACAATTTTCCTTGATAATTTATTTTTTTAAGGCTAGTCCTTTTACAATTTTCTATCATTTTTAAAGTTCGAAAAAATAATTGTTCGGCCTTTCCGCAACTTTTATCAGCAAAAAATTTTGTTGGATGCTAAATAGTAATAATTATTTTTTAGAGTTTTATTTTTTCTTTAATCTCTTTAGTCATTCAAATTGACGAAAAAATTAAAAAAAAAAAATAAATTTATATAAATCGACTGTGGAACTCCAATCGAAATTCCAATAAAAGTTGCGGACATCCGCAACTTTTCTTAACACTCCTCAATTCTCTCAACCTTTTCTAAATATCAATTTTTATTTTTTTAAAGGATATGCCTCTTCTCTTCCAAAATCACATCCAACCTTCAATTTAATCCAAAATAAAAACTTTTCTTTTTCTCCAATTAAAGCAGCTTTGCCAGAAAGGGACGAAGATGGACTTCCAATTGATTACAAAACTAGTAAATTTACAATTACAAGCAAAAGATTGGATCAACTTTTGTCTAAAGTTTTGGGTGTTAGCAGAACGTTTGTTTATTTTTTTAATGTTTAAATTAGGCATCTTGGTGGGAAAGAGGCTAGGGAAGGGGAGAGGTTCAACTTGTTAGTAGAGGAAAGGGAATATTTTTATGAAGAAGGGGATATTGGAATTGATTGTAATTTTAAATCAAAATTGGGTTGGAATTTCTATTTCCTAAAAATTTCCATGTTCCAGAATTTGAGCTTTTTCTGATTTTCGGTTTCCGATACCTTCGGTTGTTCCGACCACCTCCATTAGATCTCTCTTCTAACAGAGTAAAGGATTGAGGGAGTAAATGTATAAAGTTGTTAAGAAAGGGAGGTGAAGGCAAACTGAGATAAGTGAAAGTTTGCTGGTCCTTAGGGACGGAAAAGTGTTCACGATCTTATTTTGATTTTATTTTTATTTCTTTCCCTCTCTTTAGTTCATTGGAAAAAGTAATTTTACAAGGCTCTGTTCGCGTCAACGAGGAAATAATTATAAGAAGAGCACATGAGGTTTTTCTAAATTTTTTATATCAAATAAAAAATTCAATAGATTGATGAAGATGACGATATTGAAGTATTTATTCAACCTTTAGAAGGAAATGATAAATTGGCGATTGCACAACGTATACTTGTGGTTGGAAGTGAATTTGAAGGTAAATAATTTATTTAAATGTTGAGAGATTTATTCTAGTGTTGGTCGCGGTACCGTATTACCGCGGTATTTTTATCGAAATACCGATACCGCCTCAATCAAAAATACCGCGGTATTGTGCGGTATCGGTATTTTACCGAAAATACCGATACCGAAAAATCGCGTTTGCCTAACACTAATTTATTCCGGAAAATCTTATGTGGCCCTTTAGTCTAGTGGTTAGGGATCTCGGCTATTTAGTGAATAGGTGAGAGGATCGACTCTCGAGGAAGGAAATACTTTTTTTCTTCCTTAAAAAATTGACAATAAAAAAATAAAAATTCTGACTTAAAAATAAAATTTTTATAATCTCCCAATATCCTTCTAGAAATCCCAAAACCTCTTGAGAATTTTTTATTTTTTAAAAATTTACAGAGGAAACTGGATATCATTACAAAATACGTTTTTGGCGAGAATATGTAACAGATAATTGGAAACAAGGTTTGAGGGAAACAAAAGAAGAGGAAGAAGAAAATGTCTAAACTTTAAATATTTTATTTATATTTTCAAAATATTACACAAACATTTGTTTTTTTTTGTTACAAAATTAAATTTAAATATTTAATAGACAATTTTGTATACAATTAACAAATTATCTATTTATTATTTTAATTATTTAGGAAGTAGTGCAGTGGACAAAGTTTATTTTATCATACAATCTATTTTTATATTCTTAAACTTTTTTCAACCTATTGACTAGCAAAAATTTTGGTTCTAAAGTCCACTGCACTTTTAATCAAAAATTCAGGTTCGGGAAGTCATTAGAGATCGTGATGGATTTTGGGCAAGGGCTGGACTTTTTACGCCCCTAATCTTATCCATACAAGCCTTTCAAATCAGGCCAAGGATTTTTAAAAGATCACAATCTCTGAAAGAAACAATAAAAAATTTCTGTGACATACAAAAAGTCAAAATCATTTTCTCACTCTTTCCTAAATAAACAAAAAAATTCTTTTAAAATAATTTCTTTCACAAATCATTATTAATTCTATCATTAAGAGATTCCTTATACCGCCAAGAGTCACCTATTTTTTCGAAGAAACGTGTTTTCCATTGAATTCCTTCTTTGTCCCTTTGAATTTTTTCATCCCTTTGACGTTGTTCAATCCAACGTTTTGCTTAAAAAGATAATTATAAAAAAATTCTTTTTCTATGAAATAGAAGATAGAATTCTTTAAAAAAATAAAGAATAAAACTAAAAAAAATTGCCGGTACCCCTTGTAAATTAAAAAAAAATTCCCCAAATTTGAAAAAAATAAAGGATTCTTTTTTAGTTGATGAAATGTGGATGGAGTCAGGGAAGACACAAAAAAATAATTTCGAAAATAAGACAAAACCGAATCTTAACGAAAAAAAACAAAAAAAAACCTTCAAAATATTTTTAAAAATATTATAAGTAAATACCAGGGCTGGGCTTATTTCGCACTTTCGCGTTCTCGCATTTTTCAACGCGAAAAGTTTCGCATTTCGCTTTTTATTTTTAGATTTCGCCCAGCCCTGGTAAACACCCCAACCCCTTCCTAATATTTTTATTCCAAAAATCCCCCTAAAAACAACCTTGTGTTGCCACATCAATATTATCACGAAACAAAGCCAAAGTAACATGCCTCCACAATCTACGGCTTTCTCTTTCTTCTTGTTTCATAACTGGAATACATTCCTTTAAAAAATAAAATTTTTTCCTTCCCTAAAAATCTCCAAAAAACCTTATTAACATCTGCTTTAGCCAAAACATTTGTAAATAATTGATAATCTCCTCCCTCTCCTTTTTTAATATAAATTTGTGAATTCCATTCACCTTTTAATTGAATTATTGGTTTTTTAGAAGAATGACCATAAAAGACATTTCCTTGAATTTGATGAGCTTTTCCACGAAATATTGGCTTTGTTATAAATTCAATTTCGGCTCTATATTGAGTTTTTTCACAATGAATTTCGACCTTAAAAAATAATTTTTTAAAATTTACTTAAAGAAAAAACAAACTTTTCCTCCCAATTCAATCCAAGGAGTTGACATAATAGACCGGCCATAAGCACTAGGAAAGGTTACCACATATTGTTCTCCATATTTATGTAAAGTAACGGTTCCAGAACCGATGTGATGAACACCTAAAAGTAGACAAATTTTAATTTTAGAAATTAAAAAGGGAAATTATTCGTGTCTGATGATCCCAAAAAGTTTGGATTTTACAAAAAAGACCGTGACAATTTATCCCAAAAAATTCAATTTACTATTAAAAATAGAAAAGGAATCAGAGATGATCCTAATTTGATTCAAAACTTTTTACAAAACTAATAAGCGACATTTGATCCAAACCAGGGATTATTTCAAGATTTTCTTCGGATCGGGTTTCGGGAAACTCGTGATATCCCCGGTCCCAACAATTTCAAAGTAAAGAACCAAATAAAAATTCAATTAAAAAACAAACCAATAGAAAGCCCAAGAAAAGACGATTTTGTGTAAATATAACCATTAAATGAAACACCCGCTTCTGGATGCTCTGCATAAAAAGCAGAGATTGGTGGGTGATGACTAACTTGTTCAGCAATAAAAGTAACCTTTTTCAAAAAAAGATTAAACAAAAATCTCTTTAAGAAAAAACCTGATTTGTTCCAGTCCCAGGGAATGGCCCCCTTTTCGTTTTTTGTTCACTCGGGACAGTTCCAGGCAACGTCCAACGACAACGAAAAGTTTCTCCAAGAATTGGGTTAAACGGCTTTTTGGCAACTCCACTTTTACGTGCCGGATAAAAAGAATTTAAATAATATTCGACAACAGCTAAAAAGCGTGATTCTGGAGTATTTAAATTTATAGCGCCGATAAAGTCGTCTGGATGAGCTGAAAATTTTATGAAATTAATAAAAAAATTTGAAGAGAAAAAAAACCAAAAAATTCAGAATACATTTCCAAAAGAGAACGACGTTCTAAAATAAATGTTGGCAACGTAACTTTACTTAGGTCCATTCCAATGCTGACCTTTAAAACAAAATTTTTTTTAATTATTAAAGAGTGTGTGTTCTTAAATTTAGAAAATCAAAAGAAAAATTTAAAAAAAAACGAAGAAAAATGCTTAAACATATTACAAATACAAAAAATAAAAATGTCAAAAATCATGTTAGGAAAGAAACAAAATCCTTTTATTTTGTCCTACAAAACGGAAAATGAGAGAAATTAATGAATTCCCAAAGTTGATCTATATGTATTGGAAGAAAATTAAAAAAACCAATTTAACAAGGAAACAAAATTTTCCGGTCATTTGCTTAAAAATGAGGGAAATCTAAAAAATCTGGTTAAATGACAGTTGATCCCAAAAATCCATTAATTCCAAAAAATTCGATTAAAAAACAAAAAAAACAAACCTGAGAAAGCAAATGCATCAAAACACTTCCATGTTGTTTATTTATATCCCCAACATCATGCTCGTCTGTATTATTATATATTGTATCATAATTTTCACATTTTGCATCGCCCCCACTCCAATCGGGGTCTGACGTTGTTAAAGTCTCTGTTCCATCCAAACTAATTCTTTTAAGCGAAGTTTGGGACAATCTATGACTTTTATGATGGAAAGAACCACTAGTATTCAAAACTGTTGAACCAGCAGGTGATGATCCCCCTCTTTCATTTTCTTGTAAAATTTTGGATCTAATTGACCCTTCTTCATTTTTAGCATCGAAGAATTCATCATCGCTACTAGAGAAGCTAACCATTTGATTTACATCGTCCAAAGTTATTTCTTCCTAAAAAAATGTTTTTAAGCGTTTTACGATTTAAGAGGCTCATTTGTCAGGTTGTTTGTAACAATAATCAAGAAGTGAGAATATACCCCCAATTTTGAAGCGTAAAATGAGACGGATAAACATAGATCTAAATAAAAAAAGGGCAAAAACGGCAAAAAATCCTTGCTAGAAAGGGCACATTCTCTATCGAATGAGCCCGGTCTCGACCGTTTTTAGCTCGGACACCTCGCAACCTTCCCATGTAAATGTATTAGTGGTCTTTTTCGGAAAAGTTGAAGACTTAAACCTTCAGGGTTACAAAGAAACCATGAAAGGAAGGGGCGACAAATTATCCCAGTATATTTTTAAATTTTCAAAAATATGACTAATTTTAATGGAAATTCGTCTCCATTCTTTAGAATGGCCCCTCGATTTATTAAAAAAATAAATTTACTTTTGTCTCGTCCTCTCGACCATTCGTCTCTGTATCGTTCATTTCCAAATTTTGTGTTTGATCAAAGCCCAAATCTCTCTGTACTTGTTGAAGTAAAATAAGCGAATGGTCAACTGTGCTTTGTAGACGTTTTGCTGTCATCAAAATTTCAGATAAAATTTTCTTTCGTTTATGATCTGCCTTTTCTGAATCTTTGTTGAGTTGTTGTTCCAAATTTCTGGTCTATTTTTCTTTATTTAAATTTTCTTTTAAATTCAAAAAACCTGTTCTAACAACATTTGTGACTGATTCTCAGCAGTCGTAACTCTTTTATGTAAATCTAGGACTGGATCCTCTTGTGGAGGTTTGTAATAGCCACACTTCTCGTGAATTACTCGTTCCAAAGCACGAACCCAAGAATTGCGTTCAAGTTTACTCTTTCCCTAAATTTAAAAAAATATTGCTAATAGAGTTAAAAAATATTTGACAAGCTCTTAAAAGCATGAAATTACTACGAATTCGAGACTATAATTAAGTCAGCCCTGTATTAGAGATCGAGATTTTTGAAAAGCCTTTTCTTTGGTTACGGGTTTGATTTATTGACCTGGGCCAGATCATGGGCCTGTAGTCCAGGAAAAACCCAGGAAGGACAAAAAATGCCTGGGCCTGGACTCTGGTTACAGGAAAAATCCAGGCCTTTGTCCAGATCCAACTCGATCTCCAAACCTCAAAACAATATTTTTTCAAAGTCCATGTGGACTTGTTTTAAAAATCAACAGGTTTTTACATTGGAAAAATATCTGAAAAAGGTTTTCCCGAGCCCAGACAACAATCAAGATTTTCGAATCAACAAAAAAATAACCTGAAGATGAAAAGTTTTTCCATCAACAGCAACCGTAAATAACGTATCATTCTCCTCATCAATACCTAAAGCAGCACCTCGAAGTCTTATACAACCACGCTGCTGTCCTCGTGCCATTTTCTCTTTAGAACTAGAAAAAAGAATTTTTGGAAAATTTAAAAAAATTAATCTTAACGTGTAGTAGCAAAGAACGTCATCATTAAGAACAAAATAACGATGTTGCCAACCATGCATAACATTTGTCCATTTGGATAAGGTTCCCTCCATATCTAAAATATAATATTTTTGATTAAAAAATATCAAGAAAAAAAGATGAAATAAGAAAAAAAACAAGAGGGAACGATATTAGTAACTCTATGAGTATCAGACTCTAAAGGCACTTTTTCGTTAAAGTTTCTTAACGGAGGAGGATATCTAAGTCATGCTATTTCAATAGCTAGCCTTATTTTGCACAAAACTTTGTTGATTGTTCTTTTATCATAGCAAAGCTGTAGCCTTGATTTTAATTTTTTCAACAGGCTAACTGAAATTCTCAGGACTAAGATGTCTCTTCTAATTTTTTAAAATTATTTTTGGCAAAATGTAATTTTTAATTTTTTCTGAAAAATACAAGGAAATAGTGTAGAAAATTAAGAAGTGTTAATAGATGGAAAGGAAAAACATGTGTTTTGTTTGTATTTTTGTTGTATTTTATTTGTTTGTGTTTTCATATTTAATTATATTTTTAAAGATTCCTTCCTCAAATTTTGAATGAATTTTATCTCGGAAAAGGAGATAGTTAAAAAGAGAGAGGAAAATGGTGATGAAGAAGGCAATTCTGATCAACAACCTGATTATCGCCCTTTATATGAACGTTTAAAAGAAGTGAGGGATAAAAAACAACTCGAATGGGAAGAAGAACACACTCTAAGTTTGTTGTGTTTCTTTAGTAATTTTTAAATTTAAATTTATTCAGAAAATCAGTTCAGCGTCACTCGTGGAATTGATGAAGGCGATGCTGATTTTCTTGAACAAGTAGATAGAGTTAGAACAGAACAAGAAGTTAAAAAAAGGAAAGAAGAATTGGAACTTGTAAAAATGGCAAAACAACAAAATTGTGTTATCCCGCTTGAACAACAACCTCCACTTCTTGAACGCCCACAAAAACCAATTACAAGTAACAAAAACAACGCAAATAAACAAGCGAGTCTTGTATCTTCTCTTATTAGAAAGAGGTTTTTTAGCTTTTATTTAATTTTGAAATTACTTTTTGACTTTTTAAGGTCCCATTCTAGAACAAGTACAGAAGACGAAGCATGTAATCAAAAAATAAAAAAGAATTCGTTTGCTTCAGACGATTCTTCACAAGGAAGTACTTCAACGGCAACTTCATTTGATGAACCTAAAAAGAATGAAGAAAACCTTTCTAAACCTTCAAAAGGACTAATTTCGTCAGTTTTGGACTACTCTGACACGAGGTTATTTTGTTTTGTTCAATGAATAATTTTTTTATATTTCTTCAGCGATGAGGAAGATGAAGAGAAGATTGGTAGAAAAATTGAAGAGGAAACAACAAATTGCCAATTGCTTAAAAATTCTCCACAAAATACGAAGACTAATTAAATTATTGCTCAAATTTTTTTTGTAGAAAACCTAATTGTCTATATTATTAAAGATTCCATCGGATTTACGTAAATATTGACTAAAAATTTTGAATTAAATTTCTGTGTGCAAGGAGTTCGGTGAACTTGTAAGACTTAATCTTATATTTAAAAACAACAAAAAAATACTTCAATTAAATCGCCTTGTACAAAATGAACATTAACGGGTAAACGTTTTGTCTTTCGATCTCGAGTCCTATTAAAACGATCTCTGTAATCTTGGTTTCTCCAATACGCCATTTTCGAAGACACCTTTACTACATGCTAAATCAAGAACTTTAATTTGTTAGATCAAAAATTTTCTTAAAATTTTAAGTTGGTAGTCTCCTCAAATAATTTTCAAATCTCAAAAATTCTTTCCAAAAATTTCTCATTAACACTCTGACCTATATCAAAATGACTTGAATAATGTTTTGCGAGTTATCCGCAGTCAAGGTTGAACAACTAGTCTGGAGTTTTGGGAATGAGCAACTTCTCCCTTCTTTCTCATCATAGTAGGGTTAAGCAACGGATTCTAAAATTGTGTCTGCTCTAAACGTAAGCAAACAAGCAATCCAATCCAAAAAATCCTCAAAAAAACTAAGACTCTCAGTTGTGATTCGCGGTTAATCACGATTCTTCTCGATTCATTAATCCGTAAACACGTTCGTCTCGTGATTAGGTAATTGAAAAATTCTCCGTTGAGCTATGCTAAAAAGTGCATTGTACAGACTACAAAATACAGTATTTCCTCATATAGTACTGACGGCCATAAAATTTATCTTCTAATTTCCAAATTAAATTCGCCTAATCGGAATTCGGATCCGTGATTGAAATAAATAAAATTTGAAATTATGTATATTCGAACTCAGCACACGTACATATTGGTAAAAATCAAAACATACTTAATATATATAAACAAATTAAAACAACTGAAGATATGTACCAAGGATCTAAAATTTACTGGTTCTGGAACTTCAAACAATTATTTATTTTATATCAGTAGGAGATTAAACGTTAAAATTAGATAAATGCTCTTAGCAAAGGCACATAAATAAATCAAAAATTTTTATCATCAATCAATTGTCTTGAGTTTTGTTAATTCATGATTTTAAGTCTTCGGTCAAAATTTTCTGTGCTGGACATCTCTAATGGTTAATTGTTGAAATATGAGTAAAATAATTGTATGTATCTTTATTTAATATAATTTATTTCATTATAAATTTAATAAATTTTCGTTGCCCTTTCCAAAAATTATTTGAAGACTTATATGACGCTGGTGAAAATAAATGAAATAAATTTACTATTTGATAAGATCCGATAAGAGCAGATATTTTATCTTAACAATGTTTTATCTCTTATCATATGAATTAAAAAAAATTATTGAAAAAATTACTACAATTGGATCATGTCTCTTAGTCCTTTAATCTGCTTTGTTAATTGAGATAATTCGGATTTTTAGGGCCTAACCTTTCTGGATCATTTTTTAAATTTTTAATATATTCAAGTTTTAATTCTCTCTGTTGTAATTACAATATTTGTTTAGGTTCTGCATGGAGTGGTAAGGTTAAATTAGGAGTGATTAATAGGTTTATTAACGAGTAGTATTCGGCTAACAACTTAATTTTTCAAAATTTATCATGTGCCTCAAAATTTTACAAAAAACATTTCGTTAATTTCTTTTCGAGTTATTAGGGAGTCTAAAACTCCCTATCCAAAAATCATACGATTAAAATCTGTGAGCGACAATACTTCTTGGATTTCATAGATTAAATTAAATTATAATTACACTATTAAATATTAAGTAAAATTAAGGTGTCCGGAAGTTTCGTCAACTGATAGTTTGATCAAACAATATTTTTATCAGAATAGTTTCGTCAGAGATCTTTTTTGTCAGTGTTACGTTCGTCGGAATTATTCTTTAATTACTCTTAATTAAAATGTTTTTTGAAAAGAATGTTGTTGTACACTTTGTTTTAAAAATATAACCCACTTTTAATTTTTTACATTTTTCGATGTACAGTTGATGTATCTTTTTAAAATTTGGTATGTTGATTCCGTGGCGCGACATTTGGGGATCAGACTTTTAGGGAACCGACACTTAGGGACCCGACAATTGGGGACCCGACACTTAGGGACCCGACAATTGAGGACGAATTATAATTTTTAAAAAATTTGAAAATCTACCTAAAAGATTTGTCCAAAGTTTTTTTTAAATTCTATTTCGTCCCCAACTGTCGGGTCCCCAAAAGTCTGATCCCCAAATGTCGGATAGCCGTTGATTCAATTAACTAATCTACGGATATTCCCAAAGTTTCATAAAATTTTGCTCGATACAAAATTTTTAATTTTACTTTTGAAACAGAGTGTACATAATTTTATATTATTGAAAATCAAATGTAAAATCAGCACTCAAAGACTGCTGATTTTCTGATAATTAAAAAAGTTTACTTTTTTTAGTAAATTTTTTTTAATTTAGAAATATATTCTTTACTAATTTTTTCCCATTACTAAATCCCGGGTTTTTTTCAAGATACTTATCGTATATAACATTAAGTAATATCCAGGTTAATTTATAGATTAAATGATATGGAGAATGTAATGGAGGGATTTCGAGGATTTTTGTAGAAATTTTGGTGGTGTACAATATCTTAGGGAAGCTATTTTAAGAACGGGGAACTTGGGAGAACCGTTTTCTAACAAATTTTGACATTAACTTATATTCGTTATAGAATATCAGTTGATTTTTAAGGATTAAAAGGGATATAATGATGTCTTGTTGTTATAGGGATTTAAGCGATTTGATAATAATTAATCCCCAAATTTCATGTTATATCGAATCCTCTTAATCTTTGCAAACCCCAAGTTATCTTTTTAAAGCCAGACGGAATAAACGTCAAAACAAATCAAAATTATTGAAGTCTTAACTAAAAGTAAAAAATGAGGCAATCAAAAAATGTTGAAACAACAAATTCAATAACAAACTATTAAAGATTAGCCGAAGGGGTCAGTCGATACTCGATATAAAAATATCGGAAAATATTTAAAAAAGAGACTCGATATTTAAATTATGAGAGTGATCAAAATTGCTTTTTGAACGTAAATGAATTTTAAGAAATTTATTTGGGATCAAATCTAGCTTTTCATAATATTTTAACGAAAATTTTATCAAATAAAATTTAAAATATTTATTTGAATAAAGTTAGGTGGGGTTAGGGTTACTAACTTTTTTAGGTTTTTAGTTCATAAATTTATTTATCACATTTACACAGTATTATATTTTTCAATTAAAATTATCTATATTTAAATTAATTGTCTCTTATGTTCCGTTTTACAAGAAACTTACATATGTATATTTATAAAACGCGAATGGTTTTGATAGATTAATTAGATACATTTTAATAAATTGGGTTGGTCCTGTTGATAATAGACTATATTAAAATACATAAATTAAATATTTGTTCAAAGCTTGAGAATTTAGGTAATTTAAAATTTTTCAAAAGTTAAATACTTTCATAATCCAAAATTTTTTTCACTAAAAGAGAAGGATAAAGATAGGGATTCCGGTAATTAAATTTTTACTTTTCAAAATTATCACTGGAAAATAAAAATTCATTTGAAAAAATATTATTCAATTTTTGAGTTGATGAGAAAAGGTGAAAAAAAATTTTGAAAAATAAGCTCTATGTTGAAATGAATATTAAA